AAATACTAAATTGTTAATTCAAGAATTCTGTTCAATGCTAATAATTACTTGACACAAGAAAATGAATTTCTTTCTTCAAATAAATATGGGATTAATTGAATATAATTTTTAATCAACTTGAAACAGATATTTACTTATATTAACCTTCGTATTTTCTTGAATCAGGATTATATGAGCGTTGAATTAAGTAAAAACTTTTTTAAAGGAAACAAAAGAATGATTTAACTCAAGATCTTACACTTAATTGAATTGAATAAATAAAATATTTCATTCCAGAAAATATAACATTCTCGCAAGAAATTAATGATTTTGAAACATGAGAATATAGAAATGCTTCAAGTAAAAGAAATGCTTAGATTAATTAATATTTCTTTGAAACAAAATAATTTTTAATTGAGTTGAAACAATTATTAACTTGTATTAATCTTCCCATTTTCTTGGCTCAAGACTATGGGTGTTGGATGAAATAAATAGTTGCTTTAAAGGAAATAAAAAAATTATTTGACTCAAGATACCAAATGACTCAAGGTAAATTACTTGACGTGAGAACATGATATTCTTGATTCAATACTTTTTCGAGACTTGGCGCATGTAAAACAGTTCGTTTGAAACAGTAAGATATTTACTTATGTCAAACCCATATTTTCTTATTTCAATAACTTTGATCAATGCTCAAAATTACTTGACACAAGAAAATAAATTTCTTCCAATAAGAAAATATGGGTTTGTTTCAAATAAATCAGGTCAAGAAAATGCATTTACTTGATTCAATGAACTTTTTTTCAGTGTAAATACTATTTTAGAAGAAATATAATTTCTACGACAAAATTTCGAGAATATTATAGACCAGTCCTGTATTTCTGCAGGAATTTATTTACAATGCTGATTTTGAAAGTCTCACAAAAACCGTTTCGTAATTAGTTCGGAACGATTCAGATATACTTACATTGAATTTCTAAAAATTTCTGGAACTTTGCACAAATCCTCAATTATGGAACAAATTCAGGAATTCCTTCAGAATTTATTTTTTCCGTGTAGCGCACGATTTGGTTTATGAAATTAAAAAATTTTTTTTTTATCGTTATGGTTATTATCAATATATTTTTTTTGAAGATAAAGGCTTTAAAAAGAAAAATCCATAGCGGGCCGGAAAAATTATTTATAATTTTTGTTGTAAACAAGTGTAGTAATTAACTAATTCACTGTTTGGACACATTCTGTCAAAAAAAATTTTGCGGTAATTGAAACAATATTATAGCGTAAATCTCATTTAAAAATTATTATTTTGGTAATTTATGGAAATTTATAGAAATGTATGGTAATTTTTTGAAATTTTCGCGATAATTCATAAAAATATGTAAAATTTCAATTATTATTAAAAATTTGGATTTTGTCAATTTATGGAAATTTTCGCGGTAATTTATGGAAATTTATAAGGTAATTTATGGCAATTTGTAAGGTAATTTAAAGAAATTTTGTCGGTAATTTTTAAAAATATGCAAAGTAGAAATCACAATTGAAAATTTTTATTTCGGTAATTTATGGAAATTTTTGCGGTAATTTATAAAAATTTTCGTGGTAATTTATGAAAATTTATTTAAGTAATTTATGGTAAACTTTCCTGAGCTATAGGTTTTTTTTATTCCTTATATATGTGGCACCATAACACTACATTTGCACTAGGTTCTTCGTAATACGAAGGTCGGTGGAAATTCTGAGGTCGGTGGAAACTCAGGGTGGTGGGAACTTTTTCAACCGACTTTGGATATTTTAATTTTTTGAAAAAAGTATCATTAATTTTCAATCGGTTTAAAGTAGATCTCATTCGTATTGACCAAAACAATATAACTACGCTTTATTTAACCTTTTTTATAAATAATTGTTTAGTTTGTGGTAAAATATTTAAGGGTCGGTGGAGAATATTTTGTGATTCCCTTATCAAATTTCCAACTTAGAATGAGTGAAAAATGAATAAATCAATTAGAACATTGATTCTTTTTTCTGAATTAACTTAAGGAAGTTATTTTTTGTGTTTACAAAAGTAATTTTAAGTTAACATTTGATTTTCATTTAAATAATTTACTGTTTGTTAATAAAATAATGAATATCATCCAAATTTGCTGTCAAGCATAAACTGAAAAAAATAAACATATAAATATATAAACATATATACATACACGGAGAAACTTTTAATACCACTAATTCTTAAAACTGGTGAGACATTTTAGTATGTTAGGTTAGATTCAAGGGAAAAACGACATAGGTTATAGAAATTGCTATTGAGACTATCAAAAACACTCATTCAGTATATATTTTACAGTTCTTCATAAGGAAACTAACGAAAATTAGTATGTTGTTTTAGAAAGAAAATAATAATTTTTGCAAAGTTGGGAAAGCCATGAATTAAAAAGAAACACAACAAATTAATTGTCTATAGATACTCATAGAGACGATAGTGATACTTGGATCTGATGGTAGATGGCATTAGTGAATGTCACTGTAACTGTAGGTAAATATATTTAACACGACGTAAGAACCTAACCTATATTAATAACGCACACACGCACACGCAAGTAATGACACGACGATTGGTCACGGAAACCGAAAGATCGCACGATTCGTTAGAAGTACACAGCTGAATCGTCCTTATATATTAAACGAGTGGAAAAATATGTACCTTCGAGAAAGAGCATTTTTTTAAATAACTTTCTAATCAAATTATGTAAAAAAGTAAAAGTCGTGAAAAAAATTATGTTATATTGAGGAACAGTTCTTGAATTTAATTTGGCATGAGGAGACATTCACGTTTATTAATAAAAGGTTTTTTTCTTTCATACACGTGTGAATTTCAACTTCGAAAACATTAGGGTTAGTTCGCGACGTCAGGTGATGGACTCGGTGATGCTCGGGCGAAATCGGTTAAGTCCGCCCGCAGTCCTTCCAAAATTGGTATGTTACGTTAGAATGTCTCTTATATATTCTATCTATATGTGTAAAAAAGGTTAGAATTACCGTATTATTTCACAAACAAAAAATGGCATCTTATTCTTTTCTAAAGAAAAATAAGACTATTTCTAATGCAGATAGTAATTTTTGTACACCGAAGGTTGCTTAATATATAACGAACTTATCATATTTTCGTATTAATGTTGAAATTATTAGCACAACGCACGAAAAATCCTCACATTCTAACGTACTTTTAGAATAAACATAACCAAATATATTTAATATTATAAGAAAAAGTTTCTCCGTGTATAATATAAACATATACATATAATATATACATATAATATAAATATATAATAAACATATATGGAATGAATTTTTTAAAAAAATTTTTTTTATTCAACTGTACTAAAGTAGACGATACTAAAATGTCAATAATATTGTATTTATTATTGCATATTACTAAAATTATTAACTTTTTTTTCTAAACTTCCTGTGGGGACAGGTAAAATTTTGACGTTTTTAGCCTTAAAACCGCATATTTATGAAAAATTATAATATTAGATACAAAAGTAATTATTGGTTTTTGTTTCTAAACATATAGATAACCTTTTCACGTTGGAATTGTAAAAATATATGAAAATTATTTATTATTTTTCCATTACAACATGAAAAAAACCAAGTTCTGCGCTATACGCGGAGAATCACCCACATACAGACAGACACACAGACAGACGTACTCGCCGGACCATGTTTTTCGGGTTAAAAATTTTTTTCTTACAAAAACTGAAGCAGGGAAAAAATTTGCATGCTGATCGATTTGTCCATTTTAGTTTAAGACTTTATATTTATAAACTACTACAGTAACGTAATTAAATTCGGCTTCCTTTGTGTCGGATATAATCTGCGATTAGAATGAAATGCATTCTATGTGTAATGCTCGGGATACCCAATGAGTAAGATTGTGTTTCTAATTTGGCACACATTCCCGTTTGAAAGTGCATCAAAGTGAGACGAGTATTGCAGTTTAGATATATATCTTCTAATTAAAAGTTTAGAGCAAATTCGATGATACTTCTTCATTATAAAGCTCATTTTTTTACTCTCCTCTCTCTATTTTCCCCAAAAAATTAAATTAAAAATTGAATTAGTATAAAAGTGTTTACTAATTTAAATAAGTGACTGACTTTTTGCTTTCGAATTAGTAAATTTTATTGTAATAAATTAATAGAAATGACTATTTATTAGTGAATAAATATTAGAATAATTATATATTTTTTATTAATTTAATTCAAGAAAGTAAAATTCTGTATATATTAAAATTGTAACCTAATTTCAATTTTCAAAATCACTCACCGCCTCCGCGCCTACTTGTGTTCATTTAGTTCATTTTAAAATCCATTTAGTCTAATCGCGGAATTTTCTTATTTCCCGTTTCGTAAATTTTAGTGCCGGGAATAGTTAGAAAAATGTATTTCTAAAATGAATCCGACTTTGCAAAAATCAAGTCGCAAATTTATTGAGAAGTAAAATTTCTTTAAATTCGCAAAATTATTATTATCTTTTAACTTAGAATTTTAATAGTAAAATTATTTATATTTATGTGACACAATGACATTGTGTAAGGAAGCTAAAAATAATACCAGTGAGTTTCACCACCTGCGTGCACAAAATTTGAAATCATTTTTTCAAATTTAGTTCAATTTCAATTCAATAAATCAAAAAATATAAATAAAAAAAATTGTCGCATTTATTTTGGTTTACTAAAATTATTAGAAATTATAATTAGAATGGATTATAATTACAATAAATTATAATTGGAATTCAAATAATTACAAATTTTATAGTTTAAAACATAACTAAATTGATTTCAATTTTAATCACTCTATTAAAATTAAAATGCGTTCGACTTGAAAACTTGAAAAATGACATTAGTTTGGCATTCAAATGTTTGTAAACATTTTAATTTCTTTCAATTAACCTCTTACTTACCGGGATATTATGATTATAATTGTAAATATAAGAGAAAAAAGAAGATTTTGTTTTCGACTCACCGTTTTCTTTTCTTCCTAAGTCACAATTGTCATTCCTTATCGTCGATTGTATTAAAAAAATAATTCGTCCCTTTTTCACCATTATGCATTATGCAATGCCATTATTATGTCACTTTATAATTTCTATTATAAAAAACTTGACAATTTTAACAATCAAAATTTGTATTCAATTTTATAAAATAACATTTTTTTCTATTATGAAAAAAGTAGAAAAAGTGTAAAAAGAATGTTCAAAAGAGAACCAAAAAATAAAGTTTAATTAAAAATTTTCATTTGTCACCTCCTTACAAATATATATTGTTTCAACATTGTTTAAATCTTCTAATATTTCTCCAATTTTTGAGAAACATTAGAAAAATATTAGAAGATTGAGAAATTGAGGTAATGTTGACAAAAATATTCCTAAGAAGAGACTATTAAATTAGACAATCAAACGATTTATTGAGAAATAAAATTTTAGTCGATTATTAAAAAAAAAATTGTTCAAGTAATTTTGAATGCGATACTTTTTTGACGAAGACACGAGTTAAAATATTGAACAACTACATAACAGACAGCGCGAAGATTCAAGTCGAACTGTGTCAGCCGGCAGAAAACAACCCTTGACATCGCGCCTCACGAATCTCTGGTCACGTGATATGTACCACGTGAAGCATTTTCTCTACTCCTATTCGTTTGCATTTAAAGAGCTGCGGTCAAACATCCACAGTATTTCAAATCATCATAATCTTATTCATTTCAATCCAAAAACGAACAAATAAATTTGATTGGCAAATAATAATTCCTGAATGTGTCATTTTTTAAATATAGGGTAAATGTGGGTATTACCGTGGTTTGAAATCTAATGCAGACTTAGTCAATAGATTGTGAACAAACCTCACAAGATATTTGTATAATTTTTTTTTTAAATTGATCTTTGACTTTATTTGATATAATAAAAAAAATTTAGAATGTCGTAGTGCGTATATTTTATTAAATAATAAATATTTTTGAAAGTAATGCAAGTGCTGGTATTACCGTGGTGCACAAAGCTTCATGATCGGAATACCGTGTGCCATATACCGTGGATGAGCAAACGGTTGAATGAAATTAAGCAAATTTGAAACAATGGTTTATTAATTTAACAATAATAAATATTCTTATATTTTAGCAGATACTAATAATAATCACAGAATTCGTTATAAATCTATTAATAACTTTATTTAGTGCCTTTATTAAGTACATACATTCCTAATAATATTTAATTAAATATTTTTTATGAAAATAGTAATTATTATTAAAATAAACAATAGTGTTTGGTGTAAATCATTTTGAAATTATTTTTTAATTCCTGCGGTTCTCCTTTAACTTGAAAAGCACGATTTGTTACTTTACATATTATTTTTAATGATAATAACGACCCACGGTATTTGGCGCACAAGTTCAAAACGTTATCCAATTACCGTGTTGATAAACTCTCTAAATCTGAATCAGCGAAAAAAGCGCTGTTTTAACCGCAGTGAACGAAGTTTTCACTGAAAAATAGTGGAATTTACTGAAGATCAGTGGATGTCACTGAAGCAATCAGTAAACTCTGCGTGTGCGCATAAGTGTAAAATACTCGTAGCGTCATTTCAATGCAAATGTGTCACATTACGCGGAATGTTTTTTTTTTACATTAGTGGCAAATTAATTTAAATTGGATGAAATTAGTGATTAGTGAGTAGTGATTAAAGTAAACATTAAAGTGAGCATATTTTCTGTGGTTTCGGTGGTGAATTTAATAAATTTTAAAGTGGTTTTCCTTAAATTGGAAAAATAAATTTATAATGAAAATCTAACTCTAAATTCACAAAAATATTAGTGTTTTAAGTATAATAAAAAATAATAAATCATATACCCGTAAACATTTTAGACACATATTATTGCAAAATTTTATAATTGTTGGTTATAAATTGATTGAAAAGAAAATTAATACAGCTGCCATATTCGATAATACGTAACCGCTGATTGGACCAGCGACTATTCGCTGATTCTCAGTGGCATACTTATAGCTATTTGAATTAGCGACTATCCGCTGAGAATCAGTGAGTTTTCGCTGATTCTGATTTAGAGAGAAATAAAAATAAAAATACGTTAAATCATAATTTACCACAAAGTTTTGACTTTAAAAATACATTAATTAATCGAATATACAAAAATTAACAAGTTTAAAAGTATTAATAATGAAAAAAGCGATTTATATAAAACTGTATTTTTGCATTACAATGAGCAATTTATCAAACTTCCGCACCTACAAAATTTAGAATTTTTTAAAACGAGAAATGTAAATTAAATAACAATAACGTTTTATTTATTAAACACATACAATATGAAAGTAACTATCTGAATTTTTTTGATTAACAAATTGGAATATAAATGGTAAAATTTGACAAAAATAGCGAAACCACGGTAACTCACGCACCCACGGTAATACCCACACTTACCCTATACCAAATTATCAGCTGGACAATTTATTATACACTCTTATTAATTTCTTAAAAATTAAATTCTTTAACATGTTTATATTTTTTTTCTTTTTCTCATATAAATAAATAATAGCAACGAAGGTAGCATAAATAAAAAAATAATTAATTAATTAAAGTGAAATAATAATTAATGGACATGACTACGCATCTTTTAAATACGAAGTTGCAAGAAAAATAATGGACATAATTTGTTTTATTTTCTTACGAAATAAAATAATTAATTACTCTTAATGTTCTGATGAAGACAAATTATGTTTTATTATGTTTAAAAAAAGGAAATATAGAAGGAGTTTACACCGTAAGCCACGGAGTAATAATAAGGAGACTGCTCTCCAGCGTATCCCCCAGTCAAACTGGTGCCAGATTTCTGCCTTGGTTCACTGAGTAGTAATGACTTTTAAAAAATAACGCGCATGTGCAGTTTGCAACTATCTTCGTCACTCTTGAAAGAACGATGAGAGAGATCATTATTTTGACGTGCGAGTTGGAAAGTGTGGTTATGTTTTACTGTTGACAATATATATTATACTATTAAATAATATTAATAAATTGTAATATAGGAAATGTGTGAGTAGATATTAATTATATTAGCATTATAGCGATTATAGCATTATATTATATTGTATTCATTCACTTTATCATACAAAGAAAAGAATTACTCCGGTTCGACAAAAATAATCTTTTTATTAATATCTACTCACACCTATATTACAATTTATTAATATTATAATATATTGTACTTACTCTTCTCTTTGCAGTTTGTTAATTAATATTTTTTCTTATTTAAATGTTGATTTTCCCGTATAAGTTGCTGTTGTCAACAATAAAACATAACCACACTTTCCAACTCGCACGTCAAAATAATGATCTCTCTCATCGTTCTTTCAAGAGTGACGAAGATAGTTGCAAACTGCGCATGCGCTTTATTTTTGAGAAGTCTTTACTACTCAGTGAACCAAGGCAGACATTTGGCACGGTATCTCACTGGTAGTACAGTCTCCTTATTATTACTCCGTGCCGTAAGCCTTAAATATAAGCCTCTGCGCGCATAAACGGATATACCTCCAGGAGCATATATTTGCGCCTGCGCGAACACGTGGTCAAGGCAAACTCTTTCACAACACAGCTGCAGGCAAACACTTTGCGCAGACGCAAGTATATCCTCATGGAGGCATATCCGTTTATGCTCGCGGAGGCTTATATTTAATGCTTACGGTGTAAACTCCTTCTTATTTAGAAAAAACAATAAACGTTTAAAAATTTTTAAATATAACATTTTTACTAATTCAAATTTAGAGATTTCACTTCTAGACATTTCATTAGATTATTATTTATTATATTAAAAATAATTATTTATAATTTATTATTATTATTTTGTATAAAGTGAAGAAATTTTTAATGTGTAAATAAAATGTTTTATGGCAGCGTCAATTTTTTCTCAAAGTTTTAAAGATGCAAGAATTATTTGTCAGTTTATTAACAAGCAAGCAGGGTAAGAAAATGAAAAGAAATAAACCATAAAAGGAAACCGTAAAAGGGATGAATATAATCCTCTTTATCACGACCTGTTTGGAATAAGTATTACTTCCATGTATATACTTGACACAAATAATATCACTCCTTGCCAATTCTAACATAGCTACATTTTTTTTTTTTTTGAAAATGATAAAAAAAATTTATAATGATTAGGTTTTCGTAAAGACAATTTTTAATCAAACAGAATGTTTCAGTAAAATGTTTAAAATGTATTACATTTTTTAAAAACTTTCCAAACTTAAATTAATAATAATCATATGTTTAATAATTTGAGTCAGTGACTGACTTTTTGCTTTTGAATTAGTAACTTTGACTAATAAATATAGTAATTTTTACTAATTTATTAGTGAAATTTACAAATTCAAAAAGCAAAAAGTCACACGGAAAAAAAAGTAGAACTGAATTTGAGAAATTTTTCGCCATGTCAATTTTACTTAAAAGACAATTAAAATTGTGTGAAAAGTAAAATTAAATGCGCATTTTAAATTTTGTTCAATCGTATGTTAAAAATTACAACCATTTGCAAGTAAATTATTGAAATTAATTATACGGTTTTGACACTGGAAAAACACAAAAGTTGATATTTATGCTGTCAGAAATATTTCTTGGTAAGAGCGGTAAGTTTCCATATATTTCCAATATGGCTGATAAATTGCACTCAACTCAAGCTCACTTTCACTGAATTGGCTAAACATTCGGCTAATGTAGTGAAGCTTAGTTGGTTATGTCGTTCTTTATTTTAATTATATTATACCAAAATTGCTCGTTCACGTCATGAAATTTTTTTCTGTGCAGTCACTAATTTTTTTATTCAAATTTGAAGAGAATAAGTATTTAAAATGTTAAAAAAATAGTTAAAAATATAATTTTGTCGACATTATAAAAGAAAAGTGGTGAAAAGTGGTATAAAAATAATATTTTATGATAAGTAGTAAAAGACAGTTTTAGCCAGACAAAATAATAAAAATTAAAATACCAAAAAATCTCTGCGATTAGTAGTAAAGGATAATTTCAGTCAGACAAAATGATCAAAAATAGTAAAAAAAACCGTTTTTCCGAAAAGTAGATACTTAAAGACATGCAGTTTCGTTCAGACAAACGTTTAAATCCAGGAAAATAGAAATAATGATGAGTAAAGTAACCTTTTAGTGCAAATGAAGTTTGTACAAGTAGTAAAAGCCGTTTTCAGTCAGACAGTAGTCGTAAAAGTGAGGTTTTTTTTATTATTAACTAGCGCTTCGCGGTCGACTTCTTTGCTTTCTTCTTTTTTTCTATTCATAAAAATAGTAATAAATTAATAAAATTAGTTATAAAATGCAGTTTAAATCAGATGACAGTTTTCAAAATTAAAGAAAAAATATTTTAATTAGTACTAAAGAATGTTTTGAGTCAGACACAAATTTAAAAAAAACTATAATTGTAACATCTAAAAAATACTTTGTAGTAAAAAGCAGTTCCAGTTAGAAAAAAATGTTCAATAATTTGTAAAAATATTGTAATCAAAATATTTTGCGCCAGACACAAAGTTTAAATAAACAACCTATATATTTTTAGTAGTAAAAGCTTTTTAGTTCCAATAAGACAAAAATGTTTAATAAACGTAGAAAGTAAAAAATATTTTGAGTCAGACATAAAGTTTATAATAACTAATTTTTTAGTAGTAGAAAGCAGTTGCAGTCAGACATAAAGTTAAAGCAAAAAACAATATTTTTTAGTCATAAAAACAGTTTCAGTCAGACACAAAGGTTTATAATAATCGTAAAAATAGAGAATTTCGGTCAGTAGTAAAACACAGAAGACGTAATGTTTAAAAATAGCAGGAGCATTATTGACATAGGTAATAATTTTCTTCTCCATTTTTTCTTAATTCTTCAATCATCAGATAATTTATAAAAAGTATGAGTTATATTATATATAAAAAATGTAAATTATATTTATGAAAACTATAAATTTCAGTCTGAGAGAATTTTTGAAGAAAAGAAAAAAGAACGTGACTATAGTTACAACAAATAGCACTGGTTTCAAAAAAAAAAAAAAAAAAAGCAACAGCAATTTTCTCAAATTGATATGATATAGAGAGGGATCGAGCAACACTTTGGGACACGATAGGGCTAGAAGATAAGAAGAAGGAGATTCTTTGAGGACAAGTGCTTTTTCACAGACGAGCATCGAGGGTTTGGATAATATATAGAGGTCAGCTGACTTAGCTATCAGTGGACTGAAACAATGGCAATATTCGCGTATGATTTGCACTTTCAAAGGACAAGAATATGACACTTTATACCCTACACGTAGTGTTTTTTTCCTTTGTTTTTTTGACACTGCTTTATCAAAAAAATAACCGATTTATCATTTGAATTTTTTAAAATAGCATGCAATTCTCTAAATTTTAATTATAAAAAATATTTACTGATTTGAATATTAGTGACTGACTTTGTTGCTTTTGAATTAGTACATTTTACTAATAAAATAGTCATTTCTACTAATTTATTAGTAAAATTTAATTAATTATTCATTTAATTTAAAAATTTACTTTTTGCTTTTGAATTAGTAAATTTTAATAACAAATAATTTTTACTGATGATGAATCAAACTGAAAAATTAATTTTGTTCACTAGTCACAAAGTTTTTTTCTGACCTAAAAAATAAATCAAGTGTTAAATATTTTTTCTTTTCATCACACCTTATATAGGGAAATTCATGACACCAATCATCTCAACATTTCCCTGTGGCCTTCACAATAAAGTCTCGGCATTTATTCCATTTGAATTGAAATTCAGTCGACGGAAGGGTCAATATTGCCGTTTGTGCCAAGGGTCAACATCTTTGGAAATTGTCCAAATTCACATATTATTTGCGTCCGATGCAGAATTTCACTGTCTTGCGGGTGTTGCACTCTTTGAGTGCAGTTTTAAAACGGGTTAAGTAGAATTTTTTTGTTCATTCCCTAATAAAGTTATTTTTATTATAAAATTTTCAAGTATTTAATACGTATAATTATCTCTTTATCGATAATGAGTAAAAAAAAATTTTTAAAAACAGTAGGGCTTTAGTGAGAGACAAGAGGGTCACCCATCAGAGTTTTAACTGTTCTCATTGATGCTTAACCTCGGTATATGTATAAAAAATAAAATAATATTAACAGAGTTTTCTGTGGTTAGATTATTTTTTTACTACTAAATATTACTGTGCCCATACAAATATTACTGTAAATGTTTAATAATTATGATATTATACACGGAAAAAAATCTTTACGTAAAACAGCTACAAATTTCTCTATACTATAACGACATTTTTAGCTATTTTAATTAATACTTTTGCTATTCTAGAGAAATAATTTGTCGCTGTTCCAGGTTAAATATATTTTCCGTGTACATTTTTGTAAAGAAGAAATAAAGAAATAGAATTAATAAGAAAACAAAAAATAAAGTAACTCTTACTGTTTTCATAGAAAATCATAAATTCTCTAAAAATTCTGCTCATTTCTGTCAACTTTTACTACTTCCGGAGTATAAACTGTCTAAAATAAATTTTACAAAAATAGTAATTTTACTTTCTTTTCTTATTCAGTAGTATAAAAGTATAAAATATAAAAGGCTTCCGCAACGAGAAAGCAAAATTTTATCAGAAATGCACGAGGAAACCCCAAACAGTTTATAGGTTTTTTTTTGTATAAAAAAAAGTATACGTATCAAAAATTCGTTTTTTTTCGTGTTTTAAAAATATGATTTACCTGTAATATATATAGGGATTATATACTATATATACATATATTTATATAACATGTATGGCATAAAAACTCAAAAAAGAGAAAAGCTCAATTCATCTCATAAGGAAAATCTTAAAGCTTTGAGGGATGAGAAGACGTGTCTTTTCAAGACTGAAAAAGGCTTCTACTTTTTCAATGTGTGAATGTAAACATCTCTCTTATTAGAGAAAAAAATCCTCAATGCTCCTCTGCCTTTTTTTTTAAAAAAAAAGAAAATATTCAGTCTTAATTTAAACTCTGTATTTAAAAATACCCTTTTTCTGTGCTTTATACAGTTTTTAATAAGATTCATTTCAAATGGAAAAATTATTTTAAGAATAAAAAAAATATCGAAAATTATATACAAGGAAATAAATTATATATAAAGAATTGAGTGAATTGTAATATTTACTTGAATCAAATAATTTTTATTTGAGTCAATTAAATGGTATTTGCTTCAAATACTGAAATTATTGGTTCAAATACCATTTAATTGACTTAAATAAAAATTATTTGATTTAAGTAGATATTTATTTGATAATAGTCAAGTAATCGGTTGTTTGAATCAAATAAATTTTTATTCAGTGTATAATTAATTTTCGCTATTCTAGAGAAATTTATCGCCTCCGTAATAATAATTATTAATAACAATTTATACTACTATAATTTTTGTAATTTTTTTTAAGGGGGAAAGAGAAGAATATATTTTAGGTCTTTTGGGAACTTTTATTAATTTAAAAAAATAAAAAAAGGACTAACTGTGATCCCTGAAATTAAAAATTATAAATTGCGGAAGACAAAATATTTACGCACTTGTTTCAAAAATTAGTAGCTATTTATATAATAATTACGATCGAGATAATTAAAATACAAGCTTTATATATACAAAATAATAAAAAAAAAAACGATAGTTGGAAATTACAAAAAGCAACTGAGAACTTTGTTAATTTGAAACGCATTTACATAATTACACGATTCATTCGTAAAATATACCGTTCATTAAAAAATTTCATTTTCCTCTCCTGAATATAATTAGAAAAACATTAATAAGAATAATTTTTTCACCCAGGTGGAAAAATATGTATTTAAACTATTTTGACTTAAATAATAAATTTTTTTGTATTAATAAATATTTAAAGTAGAAGAAGAAAATTATTTACCTCAAATTTGGTCTGTCTATTTGAAATAAATAATCAAAAAAATTGAAATAAATTTAAAATTAATTTGAAATGTATTTAAAATAAATTAATAATTTTAATCACATTTATCGATTTAGATATGGATGCACTCTATTAAATTATAATAACTATAAAATATTTTTATTGATTTTTATTATAAAAAAAAATATTTTTTTCCTTTTCGAATACTTGGCATTGTCTTAAATATAATTAAAAATTAAATTATAACATTATTTTTTTGATTAAATATCGAACACATTCCTTAAATTAACCTTGAAAAACAACAATATAGAAAGAACTGCCGAAAATAACAAATTTTCGTTTTCGCTTCATATTATCAGTAAAAAAAATATTTTCCAAACAACAACATTCTTTTAGGTATTATTACATTGCAATTAATAAAAAACCAAATGTAAAAAGTGTAATAATTCTCAAATTAATTGAAAACTTGTCATTTTCAATAGGGAAAAAAACTGTAAACATTTCACACTTAAACGAATTAGAAATGTTGTAAATACAGTGGAAATTATACCTTTTCTAATAACTGCACGTGAAAAAAAAATTGTTTTTCCAACACTTTTTAACGAGAGAGGAGAGGGGGGGTTGAGAGAAAAGGGTAAATTTTACAATACACTAAAAGGCCGTTTCAGCTTAATGCTTCCATATCGATCTGTGATACCTCGTGTTTTTCATTATTTAAATAGAAAAAGAGAAAATAAAATTCACTTACGCCAATAGAATTGCATTCTGGAGAGTCCGAGGCCGGATTCTCCGTGTTTTCCTCGCTATCCATTTGAGAGTATATAACTTTATTTACATTTAATTTCCACAGCTTAGATTTTATCACTGACACTTTTTCATAGAAAAATACATTGTAAGCATATCCGTGTGTGTATCACAAGAACTATGCTTGTGTCGATATAAACTACCCCTAAAACTGTAAGAGACGCCTCCCTCTGTCAAACATCTACTGCCATCTCTTCTAGTTCATAAGTACTACCGAAAACTTTTTTTTCAATTTCTGTAATATTGGTAATTAATAAAGAAAATAAAGTATAAAAAGAAAAAAATTATTCTATTTTTTTATTTTAATGTTGTATAATTGTGATAATTTTGTCAGCGACTTTTAAAAGACTTTTCGTTTCGAATCTTAAATTAACTTTTGAATGGGATTCCAACAAATTTCGAGACAGGTAGCCCGCGATTTAGGTATCTTATTTTTTGTTCTGCTTTTATAAATTTGTTTCCTTTTCTTGAAAAATTTAATCTTGGATCTTTAGATTGAGAAATCAGTGGCTCATTAATCCAACCATAACTATTAATTAGAATTAATTGATTAGAATTAATAATTCATGGCGCGCTCCTAAACAAAGCAAAAAATTTTAGGTTATGTTTAATTTTTTTGAATGAAGGTAACCAAAAGGAATCAACTTTACTCTAAAAAGTCACGTTGAGTCCACAATAGACAGCGTTAAGGAGATTGAGCTACTTAACACCATTGATATCAATGGTCTTAAGTAGCATATCAATGGTCGCAATGGTCTTAAATAGCTCAATCTCCTTTGTCTATTGTGGGCTCAATCTCAAAAACATAACCTTAAAATGATTTCCTTCGTTGACACTTCAAAACAAGTCGCCTTTTAATTAAATAAATATATTATACTTACTCCATATTAATCGATGGAGGTGGATAGGAATGAAAATCTTTTGGTGTTGCATTCTTCTTTTTGATAATAAATTTTATAAAATCTTCCGGAACGTTTTCTATCAACAAAGCATCGTGTTTTGCGTAAAATTTTCCAGTTACCGGTTTTGATCGAATAGAAGGTTTAAATTCTCCTATTAATGTTATAAATCTACTTTCCTTCTTGTATCTCTCGGTTAAAAATCGTAATTTCAAAGGATCCATACTTGACAAATTTAATTTTGAAAGTTTACACAGAATTATGACTATTTTGATTAATTTCTGAACATGGTAAACAGCAACTGTAAAATCACAAATAAATGACAAGCAACTGCCAAATTTGTTTTATATATATTTTTTAAAATATGTTTCATTTTCCCGCGCTAGTGGAAGGAATTGATTGGCTGATTAGTTCCTCTTGTATTCGCTAGGAGAATTAAATTCGCGCCTTTTTACATGTGACAGTGCAGACGCGAGACAACGTTTTCATTGTTTTCTTAATATAATTATAACTAAAAATCTCATTATTTAATTTGTATACGATTGTTATTTAGTTATTTTTAAGTTTCTTTTCAGTATTACAAAATGGCTGTTCAAGCAAATCAACAAATTACAATTGGTGAGTTTCTCATTCATTGTTCTTTGTTTACATAACCTAAAAAGTTAATTTCATTTTTATATATATAAAAACAAGAAAAATACATTAGTACTATTGTTATTGCAATAATTTATTTACAATAATTTACAAATAATAATCGAATTTGATAATGTAATGAAATGTAAATATGATAATTTTTATATCAATTTTTCAGATCCATCAACTCAACAAGGCTTTGTTCGATTTTTCAAAAATCTTCCACCTGTATGTACCTTTGTTTTCATTTTTATCATTTTTATTATTCACACCACGTTTCTTTTAATTTAAATTCAACGATTTATACATAATTTAAGTCTAATTAAACTTATTTAAAAAAGTAAACAAAATTCTTTCCTTTTTTCCCTGGAGAAAGCAAAAGAGTTAAAATTTTTTTATAATTATTTATTAAATACATTTTGCTACAATTCTTCAAGTATTTTATATGCTTAAACTAATAAAGTATTAACTATGTGGAAAATGTTTACAAATTCAAAGAAAAGATATTTTCGATTGATTCCCATGCATGTTGAAACAATTATCATTAACTGTATAAAGACGAAGAAATTATTTGTTTTGCAAGATTTTTTAAAGAGATTGATCTTTCATAAATAAATGTGATGATGTAATTGAATAATTGTTTATAATCTTATATCATCACATTGATGATTAATGTAAATTATGTAAGATAGTTTTAACTTAAGTTAAATAGCTGCTTTATTATAAATACTCGATTACATTAACTCGGAATTAATTCAAGTAAAGTCATATGATTATACTTTTCAGATTCTTTTCATAATACTCACGATAAAGCAATGCTGTACTAATGGACTAGTTGAAAAATGAATGAAATATTTTGTTAAAGTTAAATTTAAATTTAAAGTTCAATTAAAGTTAAACTTTATATTTAAATTCTTCTATTATGATTGTCCTCTTTTTACCAGAAAATGGAAAATGAGAGAAGAGTAAATTTTGACTAAATTTTATAATTCTTGAAAAATTATTTCAAATATAAATTATAAAATATTTTAGTGAAAAAAAACTAAAGTCTCATCTAATTTAATGATTTAGATTCAACCAAAAATTCCTCTTGCTTTATCCTTCGCCTTATCGACAGCAGTTGAGAATTTGCGACCAACTCTATCCCAGAATCCGAGATTTGGTTGCTCAGTCACTGGAGTAATAGGAAAAGCATCCGGATATATCCACACTGTGTCTAATGGAATTACTTTATCCTCATTCGCCATGTATGATTCAATACGCCTCTCGCGAATGTCCCACGGATCGTCAATCACGACAGGAGCGAAAGTAGCACTAGGATTTTGTCTTACGTCACTGAAAATATCTTCGCTGTGCATTGGATCATAAGGGCCTTTTCCACCGTAAGCTTGTAAAATTCTCGGTTGTAAACTCAATATTGGTAACTCACTTTGAATCTGTGGATTTTGTACAATTTGACTGAATTCCAATTTACCTTCTAATTGCTCTTCTTTTTCTCTTAAGCTAGGTGTTGAAATTTGTTCCATTCGCTGACCTAAATGACTTCCTAGATGCAAATCCTCATTTGTTAAATCGCCAGGACCGTGAAAGAGATGCCATTGACGACCGAGTGAAATTTCTTCTGGTTCTTGATAACTGTCTAAATGATGTATCACTTGATCCTGTTGTTGAGATTGAGGTAGCTGAGTTATGTCTTTGTTTCTATTGAGATCAGAAGTTTGCGACAAGTCTTTTTTATAAAGTTCCTGCATGTGTTGTGCTACATGCTGAGACACTTTTTGTAAAGTTTTTTCAATTTCTTCGGATAAATTTTTTTTCGACTGCTGAATATCATTTGGAATTTTCTGCAGAGAATCGTCTTGAGACAGATCTTCGAAGGGTTTTTGACCTTTCGGCAAAGGGTCCTCGAGGGATTTTTGAATGTACTGCGAGAAATCGTCTAGAGGTTTTTGCACTGAAAGTTCTTCGCGAGATATTTTAGGTTTTTCGAATTTTTGCGAATTGTACGGAATATTTACCTTCTGGGAGGAGTTTGGAGAAGATTCAATTTTGGGAGGAGAATCTTTTCGATTTTCTTGAATCTGTTGGGAAATGTCTTCAAAGGGATTTACATGCTGTTGAAAAGTTTTCTCACGAGTTCGCAAGACTTGTTGAGAAAAGTCTTCGAACGGTTTTACATTCTGTTGATGAAGAGATTCTTCCGAAGATTTAGAAATTTGTTTGGAAAAATCTTGGAAAGGTTTTAAATTCTGTTGATGGGAAAAGTCAAGAAAAGGATTTTCATGCTGTTGATGAAGAGATTCTTCGGAAGGATTAGAAACTTGTTGAGGAAAATCTCCGAAAGGTTTTACATTCTGTTGATGAAATAATTCTTCAGAAGGAATAGAAACTTGTTGGGAAAAGTCTCCGAAAGGTTTTACATTCTGTTGATGAAATAATTCTTCAGAAGGATTAAAAACTTGTTGGGAAAAATCTCCGAAAGTTTTTAAATTCTCTTGATGGGAAAAGTCTCCAAAAGGTTTCAAATTCTGTTGTTGGGAAAAATCAAGAAAAGGATTTTCATGCTTTTGGAAAGATTCCTCAGGAGGTTGCAAAACTTGTTGAGAGAAATCTCCGAAAGGTTTTACATTCTGTTGATGAAAAGAATCTTCAGAAGGATTAGAAACTTGTTGGGAAAAATCTCCAAAAGGTTTTAAATTCTCTTGATGGGAAAAGTCTAGAGGATTTTCATGCTGCTGAAAAGAAAGTGGATTCGTAACTTGTTGAGAGAAGTCTTCAAAAGGATTTTCATGCTTTTTTTCTTGTTTCAGAGTTTTTTGAGATAAGATTTCAAAAAGATTTTTAGGCTTTTGAGAAGGTTGGTCAGTTTCGGAAATATCTTTAAACGACGTATTTTCATGCTTCTGTAAAACTTGACCAGGTTTCATGATGTGTTGAGGCGCTTTTTCAAGCAATTCGAAATTATCCGGAGGGGTTAAAATCTGTTGACTCTCTGCAGAACTTCCTTCAGTTGGTACTGTTTTTTTAATTTTTTCGGAATTTATATTCTCAAACTTGGTGGTATTTTTCGTTGTTGGTGCAATATTGGCAGTGTTGAAAAAGGGTTTAGTGTTTCTAGGTCGAGATGTTGGCTTGGGAGCTGGCCTCGGAGTTTGTGAATTTATTCCGTCGAGCCTTTGGTTCCCCGCTGGTGGATTGCTATCGGGAGCTAAAACTGGAGTTGGAAACTGGTTAAAATTAAAAGAATCTCTTGCATGCTGATCTAACGTAAGTGATCCTACCGTTTTTTGATTAAATCCTCTGGGACTGTAGTGATATTGATCATCGAATCCATGGTTCTGTTGATCGTAAGTTTGGCTTCCTTCAGACGAAGGTGGGAAGTCATCGAAACCTCCGGTCTGGTAGTAATTAGTCTGACTTTGTTCCGGAAATTTGTGTTGTTGGGAGAAATCTTGATGTTGATCTTGATGTTGATACAAGTCTTGCGTATCGACTTTGCCATTACGTATGTCCTCAACTTGTTGACTGAGGTCTTCAATTTCTTTTTGTGGTACTTTTTCAATTTTTGTAGGTTCTCCGAATTCGTCTAACTTGGAGGAAATTGAACCTTGCTGGAAATCGTCTTGCTGCTGACTAAAGTCGTCTGGATATTGCTCTTGATGATTATGATGATGATGATGGTGATAATGATGACGATGATTTGGGGAATGGATGTGTCGCTTGTATCGCCGGTAAGGAGCGGATTGAACTTCGTCATTGCAATCGGCGGCGGAACCCGTTTGGATGAGTCCATGGGTTAATTTTCCATTGCTACTGGCGCCGAAATCAGCATTGTTTTGAGTTAATGAACTATGAGACATGGAATTGTGAGAGTATGTTAAGGAACCTTGAGGATTGTATTCACCCTGCGATTGTGAGCCGTCAGTCTGATAACCCGATTGTGCCCTGTAGCCGGAATGCTGTCCGTATCCTTGACTCTGGGAATTTTGATGTGTTCTGTAGGCTGAACTCTGATGAGAACTCTGATCCTGAGGCAGTGAACTGTAATAAGACTTGGATCCGTAACTTGCGTGATATCCATACGCCACGCCATGTTGACCATTGCCCTGAGTCTGACCTTGATTTTGATTTCCGGAAGCATACTCCTGTTGATCGGCTCTCTGCGCCTGTGAGACTCTATTTCGACGTTCGTAATTAGTAGTGTCTTGAGCGTAACCAGCTTGACTCTGAATTCCAGTGGCGTAATTTTGACCATATTGGGAAGAATTTTGATCGTTATTTTGGTTCTGAGTGACTCGAGAATCATGGATCGAATTTTGCTGATTGTAACCAGTTTGACTTTCCAATTTGCTCCCAGATCCGGAATAATAATTCTGACTCGATTGATCGGGATATGAAGTTCGTCGATTTTGAGTTTGAGTTTGATCTTGAGTTCCGGAAGCATAATTTTGGGATGAATCGTGTCTGCTCACTGATCCGGAGTAATAATCTTGTCCTGCTCTTTGAGATTGGTCGGGATATTGGCCTTGAGTTCTGGTTCCATAATTTTGGGTGGATTCGTGTCTGCTTCCAGAGTAATAATCCGTTTGGGATTGATCGGGATGTGAAGTGTACTTAACAGGTTGCTTGGTGATTGTGGTGGTAATATGAGGACTGGTTGTTATTTTATCATTTTGATAGGACTCGTAGCGATTTGTTTCCTTCGTAACTTGGCCAGTTTGATGATTTGAGTGAGTTAAGTGCTGACTGGGAATGACATGTTCGGTTTCTGTTACTGTGTTTTGATTTTGCATCTTTGACCACAAATCTTCTCTCATTCGTTGCATGTGCTGTTGCTGAGCAGTTACATCTTGTTGTAGTCGAGAAATCTGCTCGTTTATTGGTACACAAGGATATTGACAATCTTGAACCGGAAGTTGGTCTTTAGTTTTCAATTCCTGTAGATGTCGGAATGATTCATGAAAGTTTTTGATGAGATCTGAGAATCTTGATTGAAACATGCTTTCGAATGTACTGTGTGAAGAGGATGATGATAAATCCTCTAACTTTTGACTAATATCGTGACTGTTTCCAAAGTTGTGATTGCTTCCGAAATGTTGATTGTCACCGCTCTTGAACTCCTTGTAGTAGCTCATCTCGTTGAAATTGCCGTGTGTGTTTCCGTGACTGAATTCGCCGTCTTTCGTGTGAACGAGAGCACCATCGTGTGTTTGGAAATCTTTGTGATCAGTCCAATTTTTCTTTTCGTTTGTAGAAGCAACAAGAGACGACGCACAACAGTTGGTATTTGATAAATACTGTGAATTCCGGTTATTGCATATTTCCATACATCTCGAAGAAGGAGCGCTCAAAGCTCTTTGAAAGAACAAGAGAGCGCAAATTATTTTCCACATGTTAGCGATCAGTGGAATCTGAAAAGTATAAAAAGAACAAGTGAATTAGAAAATGTTCAATGCTACATTACAATTCATAGAATGATATTTATTATTTAATGATTTGATTACATCATATCCTTTACATCAATGATGATTTAAACTAATTTAAATTCAAAAAAATCTTGTAAACACGGCGGAAATGGAAGCAAAAAATTTCATTGTCTAAATTTATATTTCTCAAATTTTTTTTAACTCACGTTTTTCCTGTATTTTAAATTTAGATAAATATAAAATGAAAAGAAAAAAACAACTAATTGCAAATCTAACAAAAATATTAAAAACCTGTTTTATTTTTTACATTAGTAATTTTTACTTTAAAAAAATAAATCTATTTAAATACTTTTTCGGAGCAGAACTTAAAATCACACATTTTAATCACACATATATTTTTAATTTTTAATCACTTTGCACTATTTTTTTTATACACGGATATAATGTTGCACTTTGTTAATGATAAATGAAATTGTTTTTGTTAATAACATAAAAAGAAAATAATTACCGTGTAAGGATGATCGACTTATGATTTTTATATATTTAAGACACTCTTTCTCTTTGAAAATTGATTCCGTAAATTAAGCACTGTAGTTTGAAACAAATCTATTTATGTTCTTCACCCCTCTCTTCTTGTATCTTGACATTGAAGACTTTCCCAGTTATTTCATCTTTAATATTGTAAGTTCTACTTATTGTGTGGGTTTTTCCTCATAACACGTGTACTTATCTCATATAATATGAAGAATTGAATTATCAAATTCTGACAATCGTATACAGTTATTACAGATTAAAAGGGTATAATTCTTTGTTTTTAAATTCTCTTCGTTTGTTAATTGAGAATTTTTTTTGTACAGAAAAAATATCTCTTTGGAACTTTTTATATATATCTTTCGAAAACGCCAATGTTCAGAAAATTAATTATAGCACGAAATTAATTAAACTTTATATTTAATTTTAATTTTTTTATTTTACTTTTTTTGTACTTTTATTTTTTCTTTTTTCTTTTCTTCTTTTACTTTTTTGTACTTTAATTTTTATTATTTTTGTTCTCTTTTTTGTACTTATATTTTTTAATTTTATTGATTTTGTTTTCTTCTTTGGCGAATTTTATTATTTTTATTTTTCTGCTTTTCTTTAAAGGCAAAATTTAATATTGTGGTCAAATCCAGGTTTGATAAATTTTCTGTTATAAAATATTTTCTGCAACATGAACTTGACGATAATGTTGTCTGACATTTGACTTTTACTCAATTCTTTTGATTCAACTTTTCATTTTATTCTCTGTTTAAGTAAATTTTTTTACAATTCTCAGAAAATATAATATCTACATTTTTAAATTCTTCGTCACGTGTTATTATTTTGTTAACAGTATAAATTTCATTTAAATAATAATTTTGCATAATTTAAATCTTTTTCTACGTAATTTTATTTCTTCTTCTTTATTTATTTATTTATTTATTTATTTACTTACATACTTTATTCTAACTTATTTTATTAAAAAAGAAAGAAACGGAACAAGGAAGCAAAAGAGGAAAAAAGGAAAAATGTATAATAAAGAAAATTTAATTTCCCTTTTTAAAAAATTATATTTTATTAAGAATTACATTGAGTTATTAAATCCAGAATTATTTTTTTTAAAGAGAGCATTTGAGAACGAAAGACGATTTTTATATCTTCTTTTTTGTTGTTGAGAAAAACACACTTAAATTATAACATTCCTCGAATTTGTACAAGATTTATGAGAAATGACCTATGACACGGTGAACTTTCGATACTGCGTGTCATGTTTCAGAATACTATATTAAATCTGTGTTACTAGACGTAAATACAATTAATTATTTTTTTCGAGATTTTCATTTTAATTGAATCAACTTTTACTATAACTAACACCCGCAAATTTTAGAAAAATGAAACAAAAATCTCCTAGTAATGAATAAATAGAGAAATAATTTAGAAAGTCCCCATTGTTTATTAATAATAAAAGTATATTTTTAATTTTTATCATCATTTGTTTATCACTGATGAAAAATGGAGCTAGTGACGAAAACCTTGATTTTGTTATTGTCAATAATCACTAAAACTGTTATAGAAATAGGTCAAGGAAATTTTCATCTCAAAATGTTTTCCGAGCATTGACACGTTTCTCATGCTTTTAATATTTATATGCATGTTATTTATTTTTATTGTTATGTTTATTTTTTTCCTAGAATATAATTTTGTTTTTCAGAAATCCAGTAGTACTATACGATTTTTTAATAGAACTGATTATTATACTCTTCATGGAAAAGATGCTCTGTTTGCTGCTCAGGAAATTTTTAAAACTATCTCTGTATGCAAAATGATTGGCGCTGGTAATTCATTTTTTACTTTTTTCTTTTCTCTTTGATAAATACTTGCAATAATATTACAAACTTTTCTAATAACAAATTTTTAATTTAACATGCTATTTATTTTTTACAGAGCCAAATAAAATAGAAGGAGTTGTTTTAAATAAAAATCATTTTGAATCGTTTATTCGAGAACTCTTGCTTGTGAAGCAATATCGAGTGGAAGTGTATGTCAATCAAGGCTCCGCGAAAAATCAGGATTGGATAATTGAATATAAAGGATCGCCTGGAAATTTAGTACAATTTGAAGAAATTCTATTTGGAAATAATGATATTGTCGCTAATTCTTCAGTTATTGCTATAAAATTGTCCACGGAAGGAAAATCGAAAGTAATAATCAAAATATTTGACAATAACGAAAATAATTGCTTTTGTTAAATTTTGTTTTAAATTTGTTTCAAATTTTTTTAAAAGATGAATTTTTTCCACAGTTTTTAGGACTAAGTTGTGTCGACGCTGTATCAACTTTGATCTCCGTTTGCGAATTTAAAGACGATGATTCTTTTACGAATCTGGAAGCACTTCTCGTTACTCTTGCACCAAAAGAATGTTTACTTATTCAAGGAGATGCAAATCAAGAGTTCAATACTTTGAAACAAGTTTGTAATTTTTTTAAAATTAATTAATTAATTGCTAATAACCATAATTGATTATTTAGAATATTTTATTGCTTCCTCATAGAGGAAGTATTGTAATACCTAAATTTTTCGATTTCGATTTTTTGACATATCTTTATGTTATTTGACCTCAGGAGTTCAAAAATCACATTTTTTAAAAATGTCATTCCGTATGTGTGTGTGTGTGTATGTAAACATTACATTTTCAAAAATATCTCGAGATTATGAAGAGCTTTATGGATGATTTTTTTTAAATTGTAGGTCTCACGTGCGGACATAATATAAGAGTATTTTCATCCTGATTCATAAAGTTTAACTATATATTTTTTGGATTTTTAATTTTTCAAAAAATCGTATTTTGCCCATAACTTAAAGAAATGTTAGGACACTTATAAATGTTTTTCTCTAATTTTGTAGAGTTTTTTTAGACGCATCTTTTGAGCCCTTATCGAACATTTTTTGTCCATATTAACCGGTTATATTAAACTTTTAAAAATAAAAAATTTTGGAAAATAAGACTTTTTTGAAAATTTTTTTGGAAAATGTAGAAGTAACTTTAAAATTATCGTTACCAACTTGTAGAGCATTAAAAAACGCTTCGATTGACCTATTTTTGAACCTAATTGGATAATAAATTTCGAAATTATTGGTATTTTAAAAACCAAAAATTGTGGAAAATGCCATTTTCTCAACTTTTTTGTTTTAAAACTTTTCTTTAACTATTAAACTATTATAACTATCTTGTAGAGTATTTAAAAATACATACATTAATTGACCCAAGATTCAAACACTTTTACCATATTTATAAAATATACAAGTTGGCAACGGCTTTTTATATTTTATTACTTATTTATTTAGGTTATAGAAAGGGCCAATGTGATGGTCACATTAAGAAAGAAGAGTGAATTTGCAACTGAATCTATCGTGCAGGATTTGAATACTCTTCTGAGATTTAAGAAAGGACAACAAAAGAACGTTCAGAGTCTTCCTGAATATAATTTAAATTCAGCGATGTCAGCGACAGCTGCTATAATAAAATACTTGGATGTAAGTAATTACTTTGTATTGTCATATTAATTAGTAATTACAATTACAAACCAGAAAAAATTAACAATAAGGGGTCATTCACAAACTACGTCACGCTTTTTCGAACTAATTTTGACCCCCTCCCCCCCCCTTCGTCACATTTTTTACATACAAAAAAAATGTTTTTCCATACTTCGTCACACACAGCTTGACACCCCCCACCCCTAGGAGTGTGATGTAGTTTGTGAACGGACCCCTAAACAGGTCTGATTAGAAAAAATATTCTTGAAACAAAAAAATAAAACAAGGATTTTTTTTTACAGTTGACATCCGATGAAGGAAATGTTAATCATTTTTCAATTAAAGAAGTTGAACAGTTTCGTTACATTAGATTGGACAGTGCAGCCATTCGGGCATTGAATATTGAACCAAAAACAGATTCACAGAATCCCAATGCTTCGGCGAGTATTTTAACTTTATTAGACAAATGTAGAACACCTCAGGGTCACAGGCTTCTTGCACAGTGGGTCAGACAACCCCTTCGTGATTTATCGCTAATTAAGGAAAGACACGATATTGTTGAACTTTTATACAATGACAATGATTTAAGATCCATGCTAAGCGATGATTATTTACGACGAGTTCCTGATTTACAATCGTTGGCTAAAAAATTAGCAAGGAAGAAGGCAAATCTTCAAGATTGCTACAAGTACGTTTTGCCACAAACATGAAATATGTAAATTAAATAATGTAAATTTAACTCTTTAAATTTAAATATTGATTTTTCCAGAATTTACGTATGCGGTAATCATATTCCAAAAATACTTGAAAATTTATCTGAGGCAACGGAAATTCCAGCTTTAAAGGCTTTAATTATAGATCCACTGAAGGAACTTGTTGAAGATCTAGATAAATTTCAACAAATGGTGGAACAAACGATCGATTTAGATGCTGCCGATAAAGGAGATTTTATGGTGAAAGCTGATTTCGATGATGATTTGAAAGGTATATAAATATAATTTTTTTTTCTTATTTTTATTCTTTATTTGAAATAAAATAGGTGCTCTTTATTCAATATTTTTGAATAAAAGAATAATAAATATGTTTTCTTTTTATTTTAGAACACAAATCCAATATGGAAGAAGTGGAGGAAAAATTAAATCGTCAACTTCATAAAGCAGCGGATGATCTTTCAATGGACGCTGGTAAAACTATTAAACTGGAATCGAATCAACAGAATGGTTACTATTTTCGAATAACATTGAAGGAAGAGAAGGTTCTTAGGAACAACAAAGGCTACACTATTTTAGATTCAAATAAAGGGGGTGTCAGATTTAGAAACACTAAATTAAATGACTTGAACGAGGATTACATGGCTCTTCGGGAAAAATACGAGACAGCGCAAAAAAGTGTCGTAACTGAAATTATTGGAATAGCGGGTAAACTTTTTTCTAATTTCTTAAGAAACGTTCTTTCTTTCTTTCTTTCTTTCTTTCTTTTTAGTCTTTTTTTCCTTAATTTCTCTTAATACTGCTTAATATTACTTAATGAAATCGACAATTTCTTTTCAATTTTGTTTTACATTTTTTATTCAGGTATCACAGTACCTATTATGAAGGAGTTTACACCGTAAGCCTTAAATATAAGCCTCCGCGAGCATAAACGGATATGCCTCCATGAGGATATACTTGCGTCTGCGCAAAGTGTTTGCCTGCACCTGTGTTGTGAAAGAGTTTGCCTTGACCACGTGTTCGCGCAAGCGCAAATATATGCTCCTGGAGGTATATCCGTTTATGCGCGCGGAGGCTTATATTTAAGGCTTACGGTGTAAACTCCTTCTATCATTAAAAAAGGTGAAAAGGTACAATTTTTTTCGAAAATAGGTAACAAATAGGTAACAATAAAAGTACATGAAAGACATGAATAAACATGTAATTTAAGGTTTATTAACATTTTTATTGTTAACAGAAAGTACTTTTTTCAAATATCTAAATATATAATTATAACTTTTATATTTATAAAATATATATGTCGTAGGCAAATAGAAGAATCCGTCATTTAGCTAAAAAAGCTAAATGCCTAGCCAGACTAATAATAGTAATATTGAAGCTTATATATGAGCCTCCGGAAAGTATAACCACACATAAAATTTTGACCTCCATGCTAATTCAATGGGCGTCAGAATTTTATGTGTGGTTATACTTTCCGGAGGCTCATATATAATCAAAATTTATTCCAAGTTAAATAGAACCATTTTTAATGCATCTTTTTATTTGTAGCACTGTCTATTAAAAGAGTATTTTTTGCCTTATATTTTTATTGAGCTTGTCCACCTTATTTCTTTTCTTTTTTTCTGCTTCACGTAACTTTTCTAAACTGACTACCATTTCTGGGTTGCCACAAAACATGGATTTTAAAATTCCATGACTTTTACAGATTTTCCAGATCATTTTTTTAAAAATTACAGACCCAAAAGTGAAATTGTTTTGATAAATTTTTTTCTAATTACGACAAAAAATATAAAAATCTCCAAGTAAAGTATAAATAACATAAGTTATTAATTTTTAATTTTATAAATAATTAAAATTTAAGTTAAAGTTTGCTAGAACTTTCTGTGATAACTGAAAATAAGTGAAAAAGGTACCAAATTTCAAAATAGGTACAAAAATGTGAATATAAGTAACAGGTATTTTTTACACGTGTTTTTTGTTTGCAGCTGGTTACAGTGAAACTGTCAAATCCATTGGCAATATAATTGCTTCCCTTGACGTTTTCACATCCTTCGCTACAGTTGCTTATCATTCGAAAGGTTTTATTCGACCAGAAATGCTTCCAAGTGACGCTGGAACATTGGAGTTGGTACAAGTGAGGCATCCACTTTTAGAAATTCAAGAAGGAGTCGATTATGTTGCTAATGACGTATGTTTAAAACGAGGTTCGTACATTTTCTAATTCAATTATTTACAAAATATAATGTACTTTTTATTTAATATTATATAAATTAATTATATTACATATATTTTATAATTTAGGCCAGAATCCAAATTTAAAAAATAAACATAATTTTTTTTGAAAGTTTCTTCAACTTCTTCCTTTTTGAAAAATTTTTTAAATCTGAATTCTTGCCTAAACTATTAAATATAATATTAATAAGACTTATTATTTAATAAGAAAATGTAATTTCAGATGAGAGTCACTTTTATATTATAACTGGTCCAAATATGGGTGGAAAAAGTACCTACATTCGCTCTGTGGGTGTTGCTGCGTTGATGGCTCACATTGGTAGTTTCGTTCCTTGCGATAAGGCAAAAATTTCCTTACTAGATTGCATTTTGGCAAGAATCGGAGCTGATGATTCGCAGATTAAAGGCCTTTCTACCTTTATGGCTGAAATGGTAGAAACAGCAGCAATTCTTAGGGTAAGTTCTTAAACTCATAAGGAAAAATAAATTTAAAAAATAAAAAATATGGGTGATTCTCCTGAAAGGGACTACTTTACGTGTCTCCAACATGAAGTTCATTATTTAAATTAATTTTTTATTGATATTCTATCAAGTTTGAATTTTTTGAAAAATTTATTTATAATCTACGAAGATTTATCTATCTTTATATAATCTTCTAATGCTTATATTTAAAGTTCTTCTTATTCAAAAAACATATTTAATTTTGTGATCGAATTTTGGTTAAACAGAACGTAAATGGGGCATTCCAGGCCAAATTGGAAATTATTTTGCTTTTGCATCTCAAATTTTTTTTAAACATTTTTTTTCTTTTAGTACTCTTTGAAATAAGCTACCTTGATTTTTTTCAAATTTTTTCATACATAAAGCGGTTCAGGAGATACAGATTTTTGAAAAATGAAATCAAATCAAATTGGACGTTTTTATAATGAAAAGTTTTGTTTTCACGCGTAGTTTTAATTAAAAATATTTTTAAAAAATTTTTAAATATTTTATTATTGATTTAGTATCGATCAATTTTTTTCAAAATTTTTTGTAAGAAACTAGCACTAAATTAACAATTTTTAAGCCTTGTCCGATCGTGGGCAAACGATGGGATCTATTTATTTAAAAAATTTTAATTTTTATATACACAATGAAAACGGTAGGCCTAACTTGTCATTTGACCAAATCACAATTTTACATAGAAAAAAGGTTACGTTTGGAGAGACTCAGTCTGAAAACACATTTGCTGTGAAAAATTTGTGTGATTTTGTCAAATGGCAAGTTAGTCATTCGGCCACCACTGCGTATATAAAAATTAAAAATTTCAAAATAAATAGATCCCATCGTTTTCCCACGATGGGGAAAACAAAACTTTTCATTATAAAAACGTCCAATTTGATCCATTTTTGACCGAGTTATAAGCATTTCAAAAAAAATTTACTTAAAAAACGTCATTTTTCAAAAATCTGTATCTCCTGAACTGCTTTATGAAAAAATTTGAAAAAAATCAAGGTAGCTCATTTCAAAGAGTACTAAAGGAAAAAAATGTTTAAAAAAATTTGAGATGCAAAAGCAAAATAATTTCCGATTTGGCCTGGAATGACCCATATTTATATTTACCATAAAATATTTTTCTATTTTTGATTTTGTCAATTTATTAATATTTTAGACTGCAACTTGTAACTCGTTGGTGATTATCGATGAACTCGGCAGAGGAACATCCACCTACGAAGGTTGTGGAATTGCGTGGGCAATTGCAGAGTAATAAATGATTTTTAAAAAATATTAACAGTTTAATTTATATTCCAATAATCAAGTTATTCTCAAAATGAATTTTTCATTTCAGCCATTTAGCGAAAGAAGTAAAGAGTTACAGTCTATTTGCAACACATTTTCATGAAATAACTCGATTGTCAGAGGAAATCCCTGCAGTTCAGAATAAACACGTAACAGCTCTTGTTGGCGATGATAAACTTACATTGTTGTATCAAGTTAAACCTGGAATTTGTGATCAAAGTTTTGGAATTCACGTTGCGAAGATGGCCAATTTTCCCGAGGATGTGGTTGAGGTAATATTTTTTTATTTATTTTCAGTAATCAATAAATAAATTCGTTAAAAATAACATTTCGAAATAAAAAAATTTTGTTTAGTTCGCCAAACAAAAACAAACGGAATTAGAAGACGTTCAAGGAAAAGTTTTCGAAGGCTCTGATGATCCAGTAAAACGCAGAAAGATCACAAAGGTAATTTGGAAAACCATTAAAAAAAATTGTTTTATTAAAAGAATATTACAATTGACTTTTTTTCATTATTCAGGAAGGTCAGGAGTTAATTATCGATTTTACCAACAAATGTAAGTCTTTGGATAAATCCCTTCCTTATGATGAACTAAAAGCGAAAATCTCAACCTTAAAGGAAGAAATTCTGGCAAAAAATAATCCGTATGTCAATGTTTTGATGTCTACTTAAGTATTTCGTAAGTTAATTTTTTATTACCTGTCCAAGAAAGTACAAACATAAACATTTTTATTTTTTCACGAAAAAGTTTTTATTTGTTGAAATTTAATCTTCCTGTTCCTCTCTTACATTAAAGGAAGAGAGAAATGTTTTTACAATCTATATTTTATTACATGTCGCGTGAGAAATTCTATTTTATATCTATGTACAAAAAAATGTAGTTATATGAGAACATTAGAAAATGTTTAATTCATGGTTTATCTTTATCTTCTGTAGAAGGTAATAGACCAATAGTTTGTAAACAAATTTGAGCCGCTTCTGCCTTGGCTTGCTTTTTATTTGGACTCGCGACACTTGGTTTATATTCTATACCATTTACTTTGACCTGCAACATTATTTTTTCATTTTAAAAATTAAATTTCTTTAGTAATTAAAAAAATAAATAAAATAGTAATTTTATTTAATGAAACGTTAATTAATTAAAAGTAATTTCTATTCTTACCTTGAAGAGAAAATTCTTTTTGTGATCTGGTCCACATTCAAAGCACAGTTCATAAACCGGAATACCGTATTTCTTTTTCGAACAATATTCACCCAAAAGGGAAACTGGATGTTTGCCTGATAGAAAAATTCATAAATTTTTATTTTACTGAAGAAACAAAATACTTCTGGAAATTGTAAATGAAATTTTAAAATACCTTCCAAAGTTTTAACTACCGGTGCTTGAGGTTTCATTGTTTTTCCAACTTTTTTCCCAATATCTTGTTCGGAAACCAGACCCCTTTTGTCTAGTTTAACTTCGAGTTGTAAAGGTTCGAGAGTTCCTTCTTTATTTTTGCCTAATCCTTCTCCAGGTCTCCAACCCATTTTCTGAAGTAGAGCCATTCCCATTCCTCCCGAAACTGGTAACGCCGATGTTAGTTGATCCTAAATAAAATACATTCCAACTATTAGAAAGTGTAATTGCAGCAATCAATTTTCTAAATATTTACTATTTTTTTAACCTTTAGTGTAAAAATGTAGTTTTAGTATAAAATTTAAGTTTTGAAGTTAGAATTTCTCAGAAGAAAAATAAATAAATATATTTTAGGTGAAAACGAATAGTTGTTTGTTAGTAGGAGATTAGTATCAAGTAGCAAAGTGGAAAATAATAATAAGTGGAAAGGAATACAGAAGTAAAAAATTATATAAAAAATTTCTTTTCTTAATGAACTTGTGTATCTATTTTGAAAATTACAATACTTACCAATGATAAACTTTAATTGACGAATTCAGGCAGCCGCAGTTGTTTCTTTGCCGATGTATCTATTTGCCTGTAACAAATCCTCAGGTGGATGCAGACTATTGCTAATTATTTCAGCCAAAACAAATTTTGCCAAGAAAATTTCTTTCTGTAAAATTTTGTTGTAGGAAGCTGATGATGACTAGCAATAATCTCGCACGAGACCGTTAACTATTCATTTTTATTAAACATATCCGAATTTCATCCAAAATTATTTGAAGGTACTTTTCTTTCTTTTCAGTAAAAAAGAAAAGCATCTTCAATCAAACTGGAATTCTATTCGCTATTCTTGAAAAGATTTTTATGTTTCATTTCGATCTGTTATTTTCGGATAAAAATTTGGTTAATTTCAAAATATTTTTCTTTTCATTATAAGAATATGAAATGTAACGGTGCTCTTGCGTCCGTGCAGGCACAGATTCTACCTCTAAAACAGAAATAGTCTCTGCCTGCAACACAGTTTCTTCAAGGCCAATTTTTCGATAAAATATCCAGGATATTCTTATAAACTTAATAAACTTTTTTTTGCACTTAACTAACAAAAATTATATATTTTGCCTTTGAATTTTTTCAAACAGTTTATTTAGTTTCTCTGGAAATGAGATGAATCTAAAATGGTCTTTATTGAAACTGTACCTGAAAACTTGTTACAGACAATTTTAATTCTCTGTTATATTGAATTTCTATTCATGAATTTAAAAAGAAAACTTACGTTTCAGAAAATATTTTGTTTTTCATATTTTTTGAAAATATTTTTCGAAACGTAAAAGCAACTTTAGATGCATTGCAGACTCTCGTTATCCCCATGGCTCAATTATAAAGCAAGAAATGCTAAATTTTTCAAATATTGTAAAATAAATAAATAAGTAAATCACTATTACCTTACGGGCCCATGCTTGATAACCTGATGTAAGTTCTGCCGGTGTTAGTACTTTTGCTCCGGTGCTACCTGTAAAATGACCTGGCATCTGCTTACTTTCTGCCCAAGATGTCATCTGAAAGAATTTTAATTTTTCGTCATATTATTTCTTTTATATTCAATTATTAATTAAAAATTTGATTTCTTCAAATCTCACCTCATTTTGTGCTCTGTGCATTTCATTTAGAGCACAAACGTCGTTTGGATTCTCTCTTAATTTTCTCATAGCTGACAGTCTTTGTGAAACAATTGAGCCTATGTCAATATTCTGTAAAAATTATTTCAAGCTCTTAGTATTTTTCCTTATTGCCAAAATAATGATGAAAAAAAAAACCAATCCATAATTAATCAATTTTTGAAAATTGGATTTATCTCATAATTTTATTATCCTAACATCAAACTGTTTAGAAATAATAGAATTTCGAGAAAATAGATAACCAACCTCGGCAGATATATTTTGAGGAAAAACTGATGGTGGAGGTAATATAGCAGGAATAGTTGTAGAAATAGGTGTAGCGACAGGAGTTGGCGGTGGTACCATGACCGGAACTGGTTTCGGAAAAGAACAAAGTGGTTCACTTGCTGGAACAAATTGCTTTTTAGGTTCCACTTTTTTCGGTGGCACCGGGACCCATTCACTTTCTGAAAATAAAAGTCGTCTTATTAACGCCAAGTAAGTAACTATTCTTCTCACTTTCCAATATTATATCAATTTTTTTAATCGCAAATTAATTCTTATGAAGTAACTATATATATTGTTGATATTTAATTATTCATTCATTTATTTGAATAATTCACTCAATAATTTAAATATTAAGAAACATTTTAATTTTCGAATTCAATTTCAAAAAATAATTAATAAATAATAATAAAAAATTCTTTTCATTTGTGTAAAATTTATAAAACTGACCAGTTTTCCTATGAAGCTGACCACTTGAAACTGGAAACTGTAAACGTAATTGATTTGACGATTCTGCAGTTTTCTCTTGGAATGTTCTAGTTGGCAGTTGTTTAGCATCCTGCAAAAATAATGAAACGAATATACCATGTAATTATTTACTTATTTTTAATCTAAAACTCGATGAATAAAACTTACCCTAATATTCATTATAATAGAATTTGGTCTTTCCTTCAGGAGAAAGGGATGGTGGAAACCTTTTTCGGATTCACTGTCATTATCTGATGAAATACTAGACAATTCTCCCAAGGCTTCAGATTTTGAGAGAGACTTGCAGAAATCTGAGGAAAAATTAGAATTTTATTTCATGAAACGAAATCTTCTATATATTAATAATCGTTGTATTCCAGTAATCTGTTCGCAGTTTGAAATTAGTTGTTGTTTGCTTTTTTGTTTCCTAACGTTTTTAATAATTTTTCTTTTTAAATATTTTCAATTTTAAAATTAATATTTTAAAAATGATTTAATTGTTGCAAGAATTTTATGAAAATAATTGAATTCTTTCGAAAAAATATAATTAAAATTGTATTAAAAATAATTTAACTCTTTCAAGAAAATGTAATTAAAATTTTGTTGAAAATAATTTAATTCTTGGCAAAATTTTTTATTAAAATTTTTACTTGGCGGAACTTTTTGCATCAAAGATGTTTTTGTTGGGATTGAATTGTTTTGAAGAGTTTATTTCAATTTTCTTGAAAATAATGGAGTTCTTTCAAAATAATTTTTATTGAAAATTTTGAAAGCAATTGAATTTTATAAAGAATTTCTTTCAAGTTTTTAAAATAATCGTGTTTATTATTAATTGTAAATCATAATTTTCCTATCAAATTATTCATAGAAAATTAAATTCTTTTAAACAATTTTATTAGAGTTTTTGTAAATAATTACATTTTTTTTAAAGAATTTCATTAAATTTCGTAAAAGTAATGTAAATTATTTAAAATAATTTCAATTGAAAATTTAGAAAATAATTGAAATTTACAAAGAATTTTATTAAAAACTTTTAAGAACAATTGAAGAAATTTTATTAAAATTGTATTGAAAATAATTGAATTTCTCAAAAGAATGTTATTATTTACAAAAATAATTGAATTCTTGCTAAGAATTTGACAACTTATAAAAATAATTTAATTGTTTCCAAGAATTGTATTGCAGAATTGTTGAAAACAATTGAATTTTTATTAAAACTCTTGAAAATAATATTTTAAAAAATAATTGTATTCTTTCGAGAAATTTTATTATTTATGAAAATAATTGAATTCCTTTGAAGAATTTTATTATTTAGGGAAAATATTTTAATTCTTGTGAAGAATTTTCTTATTTATGAAAATAATTGAATTCTTGAAAAGGATTTGACAATTCATAAAAATAATTGGATTTGTTTCGAAAAATTTTATCTGAATTTTTAAAATTAATTCAATTTTTTAAAGGAATTTTATTAAAAATTTTGAAAATAATGATTTTTTAAAAGAATTTCATCAAAATTGTTGAAAATAATTGAATTTATATTAAAATTCTTGAAAGTAATTGAATTTAATTAATTTTTCAAAGTAATTGAATTCTTTCGAGAAATTTTATTAAAATTGTATTGAAAATAATTGAGTTCTTGAAAATATAACATTTTTTAATTTACAAAATAATAACAAATGGAATACCGCGTTCCGCGCGCGTATCATTTGCTAGTATGAAAAAAACGAAATAAAAAAATTGTTTCTTGAAGGACTATTTTTTAACTTGAAATTTGTTATTTGAAAAATAGTTTTAAATAGAATGGAGAATTTAAATTTTACCTGTAAGTTCGTCTACTGTTTTTCCTCCAGCTTGAATGGCAGCGATAGCTTTATCTCTTTGCGCCAAAGGTAGAGCACCTCGTTTAATCATGCCTATCGCATTTTTTCTAGCTATCTCCAATAATTTCTTCTTGTCAATCTCAATTCTTTCTCTAAAAAAAAGTGAAGAAAAAAGAAAATTTAGCTTGAAAAAATTGTTTCTTTGTAGAAAATATTTTCTATATCTGATTAAAGTTTCTGCAATTTAAAACTTACTTTCTCTCCCTACTTCGACTTCTGTGTCTACTGTAATGTCTTCTGTCTCGACTTCTGTCATCTTCCCATCTGTCGTGACTCCATCTTCTTTCTCTTCGTTCTCGACTCCTTTCTCGATGCTTATTTCTATCTCTACTTCTGCTTCGATGTGAACGTTGCTGTGATGTAGATCTCTTTCTGTCTCTACCTGCACTACTATTTCTTTGTTTGCTGTCCTTTTTCGAATCTTTATGACTTTTATGTGACTTTCCATCTTTATCGTCTTTACCCTTTTTCTCCTTTCGTTTCCGTTCCTTTTCTTTCAAAATCAATCGAAGATCATTTTTTACCTTCTTTCTAGATGTTGGACTTTTGCTTTTGTCCTTTGCTTTTTCTGAGGAATTATTTAATATTGGAGATTTAGATTTAAAATCAGGAGGAGGAGGAGATGGACTTAGAGTTGGTGTTCTATCATCATCATCATCATCATCATCATCATCATCATCATCATCATCATCATCATCATCATTGTCGTCACCACTGCTATCAGAAATTTCACCATCTTCCATTCTTGCCGCTTTTTCTTTTTCTTTAATCTCCACCTCTTTCACTGTTTCATTATAAACTACACTATTTTTCAAATCTTTTATTAAAATTTTGCCGAGGGTGGGATTTTTTGCTTTTTCTGAAAGAACAAAATTTAATATTTAAAAGGAATTAATTAATTTTAATTAGAAATATGTGACGCGACACGAGAAAAGGGACCTATCGTTAAAAAAATCGATTTTGAGATTATGGTGCTATTCGACAGATTATTCTTTGCTCTTTCACGTGAAAAAATCAAAAGTTGAAAAACTTAAATAGTGTTAATAATATAAAGCCCGAATTTTAAGCATGTACGCGTAAATACACGGGTTTTCTGCGCATGGCGGCGCTTTAAACGCTCTCCCTGTAAAATTCTCTTTTGCGGCGATAGGTCCCTTTTCTCGTGTCGCGTCACATATTTAATATTAAAAAAAACATGAATGTAAGAAATTAAGAAATTATTTACCAAGAAGAAGAGGAACACGAGGCTCTTCCTTATCGTCTATTTTTTTAGCCACTGGTGGCAATATTGAACTCGAATCATTAATCTCCTTCTTTTTCGAAATTGTCTCATCTTTCTCGTTTGGCTCTTGCTTAACTACAACTTTATCATATTTACTGTCTTCTCTTCCCAAAATATTAAATTCATCTTTTATAGTTTTTGGCTCAATCTTAGGAATTACTTCATCATTCAATTTTATTAATTTAGATTTTGTACTCCCAGAATCTGATGATTTATCACTATCGTCATGCTTTCGTTTTGATTTCTTTTTATGTTTTTTCTTTTTCTTCGTTCCTAAGATTAAAAACAAAGGATAATAATTTATTTAAGGGCATTTGAACCATGATGACGTCACAGATTTAAAACTAATGCTTTGCACAAACTGTGACGTCATCAAGGTTCAAATCCCCTTAAACTTACAAGTATTTTTATTTTCAAGTAAAAAGGTACTACCCACCTTCAGAATCGCTACTATCAGATGAGTGGTGCTTAAATTTTTTCTTATGCTTCTTGTCTTTATGCTTGTGTTTTTTTTTCTTTTTCTTCTTTGTCGATTTTTCTGTTTTGGAATTTGTATCTGAATCATTTTGAGGAGAAACTATTCCTTCATCAACATCGAAAGTGCTAAAGAGTTCAGTTAAAATTTCATTTGACGATTTTTCTGGTAAACCAGGCTCAGGTTTGATTTTTACAGCATCAACGCCGACTGAGGTGATTAAATTGGCAATATCAAACAAATCTGCCATTGATGATATTGTTCTGCTCCTGGCTTACTTAACAATATATCTTTTTTACTTCATTCAGATAATAAGTAAATATCTAAAGTATTATTTGTTATTAGTAATAATATTTTAAAATATGATGAACGTGGCTATACCTTAATTATAGATTACGCTTAGGGAATAAAATGAACTAATTACTTTTTGATTTTTTCCAATTTTTTCATGCCGTACTATTTCCCAAAGAAATATATTTCTCTTTTTGTTGTATGAAATAGAGTAAACTACTTTATTATTTTAGTTGCTAATTAAATATATTTTTTCTTTTACTAAGAAATAAAACATTTCTTTAATATGAAAATAACATTAAACAACATGTCGGTCAAGTTTTTTTGAGGTATTTGAGGTTAGAACAAGGTTCAGTAGGTTTGCAGTGTTGCCAGATACGTACTAGCTTCAATCGCAAACGAAACTTTAGTCGCCCAAAGTCGCAAGCATTCAAATAGGCTAGATTTGGCGCGCTATTTAAAAGTATCTATGTAAAAATATTTTTAATTTGTTTCTGAACAAGAATACAATGTAAGTGATAAATAATAATAATCAAATTTTTAAATAATATATATGCATATTAGATTTTTTTAGAATAATTTAATAAAGTTTCATTTACATTTTTAATATAATATATTGCTTATGATAATAAAAGCTCTTCGACTTTGGGTAAAATCACAGCATAGGTTATTAAAGAAAAATAATCTCTCACTTCTAATAACTAATTTTCTTCAGCAAATAATTCGAGGGTCTCAAAGTATGAAATTTCAATGTCATCGTCGCCACCAGGATTGTTTTGAGGAACACGAGGTTCGTTCAAAAAATTGTACATTTGAGATGTAAATAATTCAAACATTTTTTGTGTTGGTTCAAAGGTCGTACAACACTCCTTTTTTACTCCAAATCTCAATCGAATCCTCATGATTGCGCCATCAATATGTCGATTGACAATTTATTTCTGGCTTTTGTTTTTACAGTGTTCATAACACTAAAAACACGCTCTACAGAAGCGTTAGAAAAAGGAAGGCAGAGAATTTTTAATGCTAAACGAGTTAAATCAAAAAATATTGGGTTCCCAGATGAATCCTTAAATTCTGAAACTCCACTCCAAAAATCAATTGAAGATTCAGGAATTTTCTTATTAAAATAGTTTTTCAAGTCAACTAAAACCAGTTGATCCCATTGGGTTTTTAGCATATCGACGTCGACGTTCGGATCTAGAAAGAAGTTATTTAATTATAAATTAGATTTGTGTATATAAGCTTTAAACGTTTTAATTTTTTGTAAATATTTACCGGCTAATTCTAATGGCAATTCAAGAAAATCAACTCTATTTATAGGTTTTAAAGATTCTTCAGGTGTCAAATAGCGAATGTTTTCGAAGAGATGGATATTATTCGGTAAACGATAAGCAAGTTCTTTGCATAAAGACGATAAGTAATTTAAACATCGCTGTTTGACTTCCATTACTCTTTCAACGGGCAATTGGATCCTACCAAGATGAATGGCAAATGAGGCACCACAATCAACAGAATTTAGCGGCAGATAAGCATGTTGATCATTTAATATTTTAACAACATCTCGAAAATCTGCGTGCGACAGAAACTGACCATTTTCATTTATTTTTAAACTTGCTGGTTTAATAATTCTTCTCAATAAAGAAACTAGTAGCACGCGTAAATCAATGAAAAGCTTAGTTACCTAAAAAATACAAATGAAATATATAAAGTTTGATTATAAAATTTTAGAATTAATATTATTATTTATAAAATATTTTACTTCTGTTGAATCCTGTTGAAATTTTAAGTTGGCCTTGCACAATTCAGCCGTTATAGGTTTCAAAAACAGAAGATATAAGAGATTACAATCATCCTGGTACATGTCGCGAAGTTTTCTACTAATTGTGCATTTGTCCCTCGGATTGAGACTGCAAACATGAGTGTCGAAAAGCGTTTTTAATTCTAACCACTGAGAAACTACAACATCAACGGCTTTGCCCCATGCCAACCATCTAGTTGCAGATAGCTGCACTAAATTTTTAGGCATATTGCCATCATTTATAGCCGCATACAAGGCCTGATACTGTAGGCGTCGTAAAGCGCTTTTCGAGAAAAAGTTTCGCGATTCTCGTACTAAAAACTCTAAATCAGCTGGAAGCTGTTCTGCCGCCGTTGATCCACAAAGATGTAAAGAATGACAAGTACATCGAATTAATTGTGCACTTGGTACCAAATCTTTAAAATACTTAAAAAAGCCTTTCTCAACACCAGTCATGTTCGATGCGTTATCGCTGCCAATCCCAATGCAATTTTGTATGTTTAAATTTAGTTCTTTTAAATACGCAACATGTACTGTCAAAAAGTATTTTTCCAGTTGCTTTTTCAACCTCTATAAAAATCCTGAAAAATCTGTGACGATTCTCTTTTGATTTCCACTATAATATCGAATACAAATAGCCAAATATTTTATAACAGATATATCCGTTGATTCGTCAAGTATTAAAGAATAACTTTTATCTCCAATATCATCAATTAATTCAGTTAGCATTGCAGGGGCAATAACATTCACAATTAATTTGGAGCATTTGGTTCTGTGCATTCTTAAATTTTCTAAAGGCGACCCTTTACCCAAAACTTTCAGTAATTCCCCTAAATGGTCTATGCTTCTTACAGCCGAATGTGCGGCAATATATACCGCTAATTTCAAATCCATACTTTTCGCTTCATTGCCAATTACCGGAAAGCCTTTATTTATAAGGGTCGACTGGACATTCGTATTATATTTTAAAGCGTTTGCTTTAAAATATAGTCGCTATCGCGACTGGTCGCGATAGCTTAAAAAATAATCGCATTGCAACACTTTAAGTCGCCCAATTCGCGATAAATCGCCCAATCTGGCAGCACTGTAGGCACGAACTGTAGGTTTGGTCGGTTGGTTAAGTCCAACGCACAATAGGTTCGCGAAAGTCGTTCGCGAACGAGACACATGAGATAGACAAGGACACAAATATATCTCTGTCCTTTTCTAACTCATGCTTTGCGTTCGCGAACGACTTTCGCGAACCTATTGTGCTTAGGCCTTTAGATGTGCTTTTCGTCTAGATCATGTCTAGATCTAGACGGCATGTCGGTCACGTCAATTCCTTAAGTGACAGATTTATTATTAATTACATATTTTCAAAAAATGGACAAAAGGTATGAAAAATTATAAAATATAATAATTTGAATGTTTCAGCAAAGATATATTTTAATTATTCATATGTTCAAAAAGTAGACTAATTTATTTTATCCTTTAAGGTGCTTCTATACCTCCGGTGGATTGGTCAAGCAATCGGCTCGATGAATTTTCATGGTCGGAAAATGTACTTTCATGGCGGGTATTTTTGAATAAGTAAATGTTGAAAAGGTTTTTACTTGAAAATTTATTTAAAAAAATGATTTTATCATAGAAATTCTTTTGAAATTTATGTTAAAAAACATGTTTTATTTTAAAAGTTATCAAATTTTACATAATTCAAAATGTTTTAATTTTCCAAAGAAGTGTAAAAAGCCTAATGTTTTTGAAATGCTAGTACAGACGGTACAGACTGTTTGTTATGAATGTACATAACCTAGCGTTGTGTTGTCTGTTCATTATTATTTAATATAATAATAATAATAATAAAATCATTAAATTTAGAATATAATATCACAAGCACCACAACACAACGCTAGGTTATGTACATTCATAACAAACAGTCTGTACCGTCTGTACTAGCATTTCAAAAACATTAGGCTTTTTACACTTCTTTGGAAAATTAAAACATTTTGAATTAAAATTTGATAACTTTTAAAATAAAACATGTTTTTTAACATAAATTTCAAAAGAATTTCTATGATAAAATCATTTTTTTAAATAAATTTTCAAGTAAAAACTTTTTCAACATTTACTTATTCAAAAATACCCGCCATGAAAGTACATTTTCCGACCGTGAAAATTCATCGAGCCGATTGCTTGACCAATCCACCGGAGGTATAGAAGCACCTTTAGAAAAAAAGACATGAGTGAGAAATCTCGAATTTAAATCGAAAATAATCGAATGTACTCTCGCAGTTATAGCAATGAAAATGAAACATAGAAGGGCACACTCACATTTCCAAATCCCCAAATCTAAAGAAATATAGTACCTTAAAAACTCATACATAGTTAGAAGATGGAGCTAGAGTCGCTCTTTTCAATATCATTATGAAGTGGCAATTTTTATTTTATTAACTTAACTTTAGAGGAACTAAATAAAAATTTAGGTAATTTTAAATGAGTCACAATAAACAATTTAATATTAAATAAAAGGAACAATTTAAATAGAAAAAGAGAAGAAAGTAAAAAAGTCGACCGCGAAGCGGTCGACGAAGCGCTAGTTTAATTAAAATGAATACAAAACTTTTTGAAAAAGTGCAAATAACCGACGCATGAGCATAACGGTAAAGTATGGCGGTTGTGTTCCAGAAATTTCAAATAGAATCTTATTTATTGAAATATTAAATAATTAAAAATGTAAACGAAATTGTACTTATTTATTCAGAATCGTATTTTCTTCAAGTTTTGTTAAATATTGATATTCTCTTTATAATCATTCTTATACATGCGGAAAAAACAGTTCAAATTTTATGAAACAGCTGATTGTCAACCATATTCACAGTGTTGTGAATAATGTGAAGGTAGCTTCTTTGGTAATAAAAATAATTGGAAAATAAATATAATTTTAATAAAAAGCAAAATTTTATGTAAAATTTTAAAAAGATTATTCTTAAATTGTATAGAAAAAAACAGAGTTTAAAATGAAGTTAAAATAAAGAAGAAATGTTTCTTTCAAGCCTGGTTTCTTTTAATTGCGTTCTTTGTTTGCCGTAACTGCCGGCTTCAGTATGTTTCCCAACCCTGACCAGTGATCATATGTGAGTTTTAAGAACACACTCCTACTAAATCTTACCTTTCATAAAATGGCAGAATGAAGCTGATTTGCAAAATGTGATTTAATATCTACTTAAATGTTATGATTTATCGCGTGTGTAGTGTTAAAATTGTGAGTTTTCCATTACTGAATGTTGTTTGATTACAATTACAAAGGTATGACTTTTCTAACATTGGTTTATCGGTATTCTAACTCCAATTAAATGCCGCACATTTACCTTGAATTCGGAATGTTTGAAAACAATATAGTTGACAATGTTATGACTTTTTATTGGCCTGTCAGATAAATTGTCAGAAAAGTGATAATATAAACAAATTTTAAAGATATTGACAAAAACTTAGATCTTGGAGTATTTTTATAGAAAATCGTACTTGCACTTTTAGACTAATTTAAAATGTTAATTAACCGTTGTATGAAGTATTGTAAAAAGCCGATTTTATTGTTTGAATTTTCTAATGTTTTATTACGAAATTTTTTGAAAAAAGCGATTTTTTTCTGAAAATTAAAGCGATTTTATTATTTTTGAGATTTTATGATGCGAAGGAGGTCGGAAAGGAGAGAAACTTGACGTTTCTCGCTCCATTTTGGAGTAGCCATTATGTCACTCTAGACTTCAAAATTAAAGAATCCTTGCAAGCGTTGCTATAATCAGAATTCGGACGGCTTAATTGAGACATCTGTGATTTATTAAATATTTCATGTGTGCAATAAATATTTTCAGGGTCTACTTTCTCGAAAGTACTTATAATGAAAAAAAGTAGCCTTGTTTTTCTTTAACTTTTGTTTACTTATTTTCTTTAAGTTTTAAAAACGTTCAATATCTTTGAATCTGAATAATTTATATATTTAATTGTGCAAATTATCAAAAATCGACTACATACGTAATTTATTGCAAATATTTAAATAAAATATTTCTTAACAAATTTTTAACGTAAAAATATTTTTATAAAATATAATTAATTTTGGAATCTCTTTAGAGTGAATGAATAACCAACAAAATAATGGCACCTCGACGATTAGAAGAAATTCCTATCAAACGAATGGCAGCGTTTGGTTGTCGTTTACCGTCACGTTTACCAAGAGGTGAAATATTGACTGATATTACTCAAAATAAATGGAGAGTAGGAGATCCAATTGGTTGTGGAGGTTTTGGAGACATTTATCTAGGTAATAAGGAAAATTTTGCTTTCTCATTTTTGTAAAAAAATTTTTCCACTGACATAAAAATTATTACTGACTTAATTTTATTATTCAGCCTCTGATGACATTACGAAGCCAGTAGAACACAATTCGAAATATGTTGTTAAAATAGAACCACATAATAATGGACCACTATTTGTGGAAATGAATTTTTATATAAGGGCAGCTCGAAAACCAATGAGTGAGTATAATAATAAATTATAGTAAACTAATAATACAGGGTTGCCACAGGTCAGGGAAATCAGGAAAAAGTCAGGGATTTTTATTAAATTATAATACAAAACCTTCAAATTTTTCTATTTCTCACAATAATTTATTTTTAAATAACTTCATTCTTCAAGAACTATTATTAAATTATTACCTATAAATCATTTAATGAAGTATTTTTTTTGAAAAATTTTAATTTCAATTCTGTTGAAATAAGTTTCAATTTTTAAAATTTTAACGCTATTCTTTGAAAGAATTCAACTATCTTAATAAATATCAAAATTCTTTCGAGAAAATTAATTATTTTTCCACATTTCAATTATCTTTATAAATGAGTAGCATAATTCTTCTACAAAATTCAATTATTTTCAAAAATTTTAATAAAATTCATGGCAAAATTTCAATTATTTTCAAAAAATTTTCTTAATTCAATGATTTTTAATATTCTACTATTTTAATAAAATTTCCCAAAAGAATTCAATTATTAAACAAAAATTTTGATAAAATTCTACACGAACATTAAATTATTTTCCTGCAAATAAAAATTTCATGTGAATTCAATTATTTAAAATAAAATTTTAGAGGTGTGCAAAATTCGAATCGAGAGAAAATTCGATTCGAACTAGCCAATTCGAAAACCAAAGTTTCGAATTTCGAATTGTACAACTCGACTCGATTTACTTTCGATTCAAATCGGCCAATTCAAAATTCGAAGTTTCGACTTTCGAATTGAACAACATACTGCATACATAACATATCACATTATCACATTACGTAGCGATTGGAAAGTCTAACTTCAATTTTCGAATTGGCTGATTCGAATCGAAAGTTTACCGAGTCGAGTTGTGCAATTCGAAATTCGAAACGCCGATTTCTGAATTGACTAGTTCGAATCGAATTATCCCCGATTCGAATTGTCTGTTGTTGAGTCGATTAATGTTCGGTTCGACTCGATTAAATGCATACCTCTATAAAATTTGCATACATTTTTTCCAAAAAATCAAATGTTTTAAAATTTTTGCATTAAATTCTTCGCAGTAATTCAATTATTTTCATACATTTTAAAATTGTTTTCAGGGATTTAGTTATTTTCATAAATAATAAAATCATTCTGAGGAAGTCAATTATTTTCATAAATAACAATATTCACCACAAATATTCAATTATTTTCAAAAGTAATAAAATTCAATTATATTTTCAAAAATTTTTTCTTAATTCAATAATTTGTATATTTATTATATTAATAAAATTTCCCAGAATAATTCAATTATTTAAAAATAATTTTGACAAAATTAATTCTACACGAATATTTTCTAAAATAATGGAAATTTCACAGGAATTCAATTATTAAAAATAGAATTTGCATAAATTGTTTCGAAAAAAATAAATTGTTTGAAACTTTTCTATAAAATTCTTCGCAATAATTCAATTATTTTCATAAATAATAAATCTCATGGCAGAATTTCAATTATTTTTAATACAATTTTAATCGAATTCCTGAAAAAGGTAATTAAATATAATTATTCTTAAAAATTTTATCAAAATTCGCCTAAAGAATTTAATTATTAAAGATTTGTTAATCAAATTCTTTATGAGAATTCAATTTTAAGAAACATTGTATTATTCAAAAAATGATTTATTTTTGTATTTAAATAATTAAATTCTCGTAGAATTTTTTAATCAAAATATGAATAATATGAAATAAATAATAAATATGAATAATAAAAATATAAATTTCTGTTAAAGTTTTAGATAATAATTGAATTTTGTAAAAGTTTCAAATTATGTAGAATCTTTGAAAATTTGAATTTTTCATACTTTTTATTTAAAAATTATATGGAATTAATTTTTTTCAAAGAGCTTAATCGAAATTTTTTAAAATTATTTCAAGTTGTCATTTTCTAATGTATATTTATTTGAAAAATTTCCGAATAATCGAAATTTCGTAAAATTGATTTTTAAAGAAATGAATTTGAAAATTCTGAAAAGAACTTTATCAAAAATTATTAAAAATAATTGATTTAAAGAAGAATTTTAGTTAAAAATTCTAGAAAATAATAATTGAATTGAAATGATCTTTAATTGTTATAAAACAAACATCACTTCGAAGAATCTGAGTGATCCATTTCTTCATGTTTTTTATAATAATATTCTTATAAATTGTTGAATTTCAAAAGGTTTGAATTTGAATCTTTTAAAGAATTTTAATTCCTATGGAAAAATAATAATGATTAAATATTAATTTAAAAATAAAGTTATTGATGTTTTTGAATAATTTTACTTTTAGAGAAATTTGCAAATAAATCTAATAGAAATTTTTTTTTTGAGTATCTAATAATTTTTAGAGTGAATCAGAATATTCTTTAGGGTCAGGGAAAAAGTCAAAAAGTTTTCTGGAAATCAGGGAGAAGTAAGGGAAAAAGAAAATTAATTTTTTGTGGCAACCCTGTAATAGAAAAAAAAATTTAGTAGAAAAGAACTCAATATATTTATGCTATTTAATTGATTTGCAGTTCAAAGTTGGTGTAAGTCATATAGAAAAAGACGTGTTGGAGTTCCAACTTATGAAGGTTCGGGTTCACACATCTATCATGGTCAAAGATACAGATTTCTGGTGATACCTCGTTATGGTGTAGATGTAGGAAAATTATTTGTTTTTCAAGGAAGAAAACTATCAACGAAACAGGTCAATGGACTCGCAGTGCAAATGGTACTTATTATTTTTGTAATTTTGTAATTCCTCTCTGTAAGCAATTATTATAATTGATAATTTCTAATTGCAGTTGGATGCACTTGAGTACATACACAGTCAGGGATATGCACACGCAGACGTCAAGGGTTCCAATATTTTACTCACTACTAATGGATTAGGCTCAGAGGTAGAAAAAGCACAAGCATTTTTAGTTGATTATGGATTAGCGTATCGCTTTCGATGGGGAAATGGAATTCACAAACCATTTGTTCATGATGAGAGACGAGCTCACGAGGGAACTTTAGAATTTACATCTAGAGATGCTCATCACGGAAGTATGTATACTATTTTCTTCATTTATTATTTTAGACATTGTATTAACAATATATAAATTCAGCTCATTCGAGACGAGGGGACTTAGAAACTTTGGGATACAATTTATTACAATGGCTGTGTGGAAAATTACCTTGGGAAAAGGAAAGTGAATTGCAGATGTCAACTGTTAATCCAGAAGAAATTCAAGCACAAAAAGAAATCATTTTTTCCGACGTTTCATTGTCTATACAAAAATTGTTTTCGGGGAAGAGAAAAGCACCAGGTGGGTAAATAAGTGATTTTTGCTAATTATAATTTATAATTGTGTTCTAAACAGTGTTTATTTCTTTTCAGATAACATTATAGAGTACTTTACGTATATTTCTCGTTTAGGGTTTGAAACTAAACCAAATTACACCTATTTGCGCAATCTTTTTTGTCAAGGTTCTGTGCTTGAAGAAAATATTTTGACATTAGTAAACAAAGGTATTACTAATGAGAATCTTTCTCGGTCTAAATTTGACAGTCTTCCGTATCTTAGGGAGAGAAAACCTTGCAGACCCGTAAATGGAGAGGTTTGTTATTTTATTTATTTTTTTTTTTATACAATATTCTTAGGAAGTGTTTTCTTGTTGAAAAAGATTCTTTACTTTTTATATCATATTAGCTTTTAATGTAAAGAATTTCATGGTTTATGATTTTAGTTTCCCGTTCAGTGTTATTTAATATTGCGGAATTGTTTAAACTGTAAACTGAGACTATTATCAATTAAAAACCGGTATTTTTACGAGTCAAGTGCAAAATTATATTTTCATTTAATTTTTGCTCATGATAAAGAAAATGTAAACATTTATGTTTTTAGATTCGAATAACAAGAAATACTCAGCCGATAATTCCGAAGAAAGTAATTGAATTCAGTTGGGAGGAAGTTCTTTCACGACATCCTGACAAGCTGGCCAAAATTAGTGTTTTTCCCCCACCGTTTGCTCTGACGCCACCCCCATCACCTCCTCCGATCTCGCCAACTTCGTCTTTGCCAACATATGCGATGCTCAACGTATTGCAGAGAATGAAGGAGAGACAATCTGGAATTATAAGACATAAAACGTCATCAAAATCATTAGAGTAAATTTGATTTTAAATAGCTAAATTTGTTGATTAACTTTTATTTTTCATAATAATTTTTCCTGTCACAGTAATGAACTGAAACCAAAATGGATGACACCCGCCATGGAGGAAATTGCTCAATTGAGAAAAAGAAATTTGGAATTAGCATCTCAAGAAAAAATTTCCAAATCAAATGATTCAAAAAGACTCACGAGATCTGAAGCTGCAAAATTAAGACGTAATTTTTACAAATATAATAATTACAAATTGCAATTTATTACAAGAGTTTTTTTTGCAATGTATTTATTTAATTCGATAATTATTTTACAGGACTCGAGAGCAAATCGACAGAGAAAATAAATTCAAGAAAAAGAAAGGCTTCTTCTTAAATCTACTTCGTGTTCCACTATCTAAAGATTTTTATGATAACGGAAAGAATTTTCGATGGAGTATTATACTTTATTAGTAAATTTAGCTCTAGGATAGATGAATTTGATGTTCCTCAACAAAGGATAAGAATTTCTCCTTTGCATAAGCGAAGCCTCAGACAAGCATCTCGCCAATTTTAAAAGACTGCTTCGTAATCGACGTTTTTCATAACAAATATTTACGCTTAAAGGCGTGACGAAATAGCTTTTTTCATCACATTATTTAAATGGACTCAAGAAAATTGTATTTCTTCTGTCAAAAATTTTGCGTGGAATTATTTATGATCAAGTGCATATATAGTGAAATTTAAGTGATTTAAAAGCAAGTGAATAAACTATATAAAAAATTTACATTATTTCTTGGCTCGAAGAAGAAAAATTATCAAGTTTCCGACTTATAATTTCACTATAGATATTTTAAATTAATTTTTTCACATTTAGATAAATCTTGGCATACACAAATATTATTGATTAAAAAAAAATAAGTTTTATAAATTAATTTTCACGAGACTTATCATAATTGTGGTAATATTTTTATATGCATATATGTTTTATAGAAATAGATCATTTTTAATTTACCGACTACATATAATTTTTCGTATATTTTCAAATCAAGTAGAAAATTAATTTTTGATGAATATTCTGTAAATCTCATAATAAGATTATTGAATATTTTTTATTTTTTTCAAATGATTTAATGGACCAATATCAGTAATCAAACATTTTTCGCTTTTTTTCCTTTATATAGTTTGCTTTAACAATTTTTTTTGTAAAGGTAATTAATGCCTAATTATACGAAACTAAAATAAATGTAGCAAACATTTTTAATTATATCTATAAATATCATCGATAAATTGTAAATAATATTATAAAGTGAGTTAACTCATTATATATATATATATATATATATATATATATATATATATATATATATATATATATGTCGTCTGTTCAAAAAAGAAATTCATTTTTTCTTTTCGTTTCTTTTTTATATTAGTAGAATATAATTCTTTATATTTTATATAACAATTTTTAATAAGAGTGCAATTCTTCAATTTCTTATAAATAATTCCAGTAGATTTTTAAGAATAAATTATATAAATAATCGAGCGAATTTAATTAATGAATTTTATCTTTGAAGGGACATAAATTTTGTGATAATTTATAAATTAAATTGTATTATTTTTTACGCGTACCTGCGCCTGGTAAGACTAAACTGATGTTGTGCATCGTACAAAAGCATAAATATCCATTAACTATCATTTAGCGTATAGTGTCAATCAAGAACAAATTAATCATTACATTTCAATCATTAACTTAATTTTCGTAATGACATTCTTTTGTATAATATTGTTTATTGTAGATATAAGTATTCCTTCGTAGGAAATATGAATAATTAAAAAAATATACTGGAATTGGGATTTTATTTATTATTCAAAGTTGTGAAAAAAAACTACTACCATACGATTTATTAACAATTTTATTCAATATTATTTATTATTATTTATTGCAAAATAGTTTTTTATTTATTTACATTTAAAATCTTTTATTTATTAAATATTACATTTAATTCTTAAACTTTTTCATAGTAAATTCAAATATTTAGGAAATTGGCGCGCTTTTTTTAAATGACCGTTGTGTGTCACGTGACTGAAACATTTCTTAATTTTTGTTATGTTCCCGCCATTGTTCATTGTTGTTGCGGTTGTTGCATGCCTGTTAATAAACAACCATTAAAAATAAAATATTATTAATAATTCCGTCGTTTAAACCGTTTAAACAAATCTTGGTAAAAATATTCATGAAAGTGGTGATTTTTATAGAGAAGAATATGTTTTCGAAAATATCCAGGTTACCAACGCTGGGAACAGCGTTCCCTCTTCAGTTTCCAGACAGACTCAGTCGAAGTCAGTCGTAAAGTCCGTGGGATGTTTCAACAACTTTTCCCTTTAAAAAGTTTTTAACTTTCGTGATTGATAGTTAAACTAATTAATAACACAAAATGAGTGTTGTGTACCATAACAATCCCTCAAAGTGTCAAGAGGAATAATTTGAAAGTAACAAAATTTCGCTATAGAATTTTCTCTCAAATGGAAGCAGGTCCTGAAGCTGCGACCAGTTCTGTGGATTCTGATGGATCTTTTACATGGGAAGACTTCTTTGGTGAGTAAACCGAGTAAAATCAACATCTATTTATTCATATTATTCTTACGTTTTTAGGTTATGTTTACGCGAAGAATTTCTAATTTTTCTAATTTATAAACTTGTTTTACTTGTAAATGAAAATTTTGTATTTGAAATGCATATATATAGTATTGAAAACATTACTTATTTATCCCAAGTGTTATCGTTAAGAAACGTTTTTATTAATATATGTTTATGTTTGCATTTGTCCCTGATGACTCGAATAAACTTTTTACAAGTTCTAATTAATAAAGTTGAATGAAAACTTTCAAGAAATAATAAGGAAGTTTTAATATTATTTTATTGGTGGTTTAAAAAGAATACTCGCCAAATAAATTTTTTACCATTTATCGAATTTATTAATAGTGAAACATTTCTTGAAAAGTTAAAGAATACAATTCCTATAAATGTCTGGACATGATATCTTATCACTTGTCAGTCATAAAATATCTATATAATATATAAAGTCAACAAAATCTATAAAACGTGGAATTTCTAAAAAATTATTTTTTTATTCTTTTCCTGAATGATTGAATAAAATTTAGTTTTGTATTCAATTAACCATTTTTCCCTTTGGTTTTTTCGTAAAAAAGAAAATCGTTTTGATTGACAATATTCACTTTAGGATTAAATTTGTTTCTTCAGTTTCTTCATAATCTGGAAAAAATATTTGATAGTCCAACAATTTTCTATTTCCGCGTTTTCTAATAATGGAAATACCTAAATTTTTGAAATTCATTCTGGTATCGTCTTCGGTGTAACAAATTGTTTTCTGTTGTTTCATTTACTAATGTGATCATATTTCACGTTATATGAAGAGAAAACATTAGACCTCGAGATTCATTTTGTGGTTCAAACAGGAACAACCATCAATGTGAAAGTGACATTTGATCTTTTGTAGTTTCCCTTTATCGTTAATATTATCCTCATAATCTGCGCCGTACTTCCCACACCCCAACAATTAATTTTTTTTCGCTGATGTGTATCTTTAGCAAATCTCATTGGCTATTAGTAGATAAATTAACATTCTTCATTCGTCTTCCGAAGTGAAATGAAACTGAAGTTACCAACGTTTGTTCGACGAAAAATATAATACGTAACAATTTCCCCGCCTCAGATCCAATTTTTTTTGCACATTTATTATAGATACTAATATTAGAAGCCATTAGAAATTATTTTCAAGTGGAACCAGGTCGGGGAAGGCAACGATTTTGATTTTTTGTCACGGATTTTTCGGATTTTTCAAAAAATCTGCGACAAAAAATCAAAATTATTACCCTCCCCGACCTGGTTCCAGTTGAAAATAATTTCTTATGATTCCTGACATTAGTATGTTTAATAAATGTAGAAAAAAAATTGGATCTGAGGCGGGGAAATAGACATTGTTTCGAAATTTCTGAATTTTCGAAAAATCGGTAACAAAAAAAAATGTCAAAATCGTTGCCCTCCCCGACCTGGTTCCACTTAAAAATAATTTCTAATGGCTTCTAATATTAGTATCTATAATAAATGTGTAAAAAAAATTGGATCTGAGGCGGGGAAATAGAAATTGTTTCGAAATTTCTGAATTTTCGAAAAATACGTGACAAAAAATCAAAATCATTGCCCTCCCCGACCTGGTTCCAGTTGAAAATAATTTCTTATGATTCCTGACATTAGTATTTTTAATAAATGTGGAAAAAAATTGGATCTGAGGCAGGGAAATAGAAATTGTTTCGAAATTTCTGAATTTTCGAAAAATCGGTAACAAAAAAATGTCAAAATCGTTGCCCTCCCCGACCTGGTTCTACTTGAAAATAATTTCTAATGGCTTCTAACATTAGTATTTGTAATAAAATTGGAAAAAAAATTGGATCTGAGGCGGGGAAATAGAAATTATTAAGCATTATATTTTTCGTCGAACAAACGTTGGTAACTTCAGTTTCATGAAGTGAAAAGGGTTTTTATAAACATTTAATGTACTTACAGGATATATGTTTATTATAAATAATTATAAAATTCTGATTGTGAGTGTTAAATATGTTAGGTACTTTCCAATGAAATTGAATATTAGTATATTCACTTTCATGTGTGAAAATTTTTCGTTTATTGAAAAATAAGTAATTTACAGAAGAGGAAATTTTTATTTATATAGAAAAAAAATGATTTCTTAAGTTCTGTCAACACCATATGTTGGTGTGATGCACTTGAGCTGTACCGGATGCAGTTTAGAGAATTATTCACATTTTCTTTTATACGACCATTCTTCTTTTTTATTCGAATATTCACGCGTTGCACTCTCACTCATTCGTTGCTGATAGACAGTTACAAAAATTAAGTTTATTGTACAAGAAAACTTTTCTTTTTTTGATTTTGGTACAAAAAGAATAAATTTGTATTGTTGGTAAAAAATGATTTAAATATCGTAACTTTTGAGGTGGGTGATTTTTTTTCCTTTTTATTTGAAACGATTCTAAGTATTAAGAGATCATTTGACATATGCCCACACATTTGTATTGGATTACCGTGTCAATAAAGTCGCATAAAATTTGAACAAATAGAGCAGAGAGGTGAACAACTCGTTTATCCTGCACATCACATGAAAATATCTTGTTTGAGTTGAACGAGAGCGATCGAGAGGGACTTAACAACTCCCCCGGCCCACTTTAAAACACAGATTCGTTTTATCGGGGCACATAACGAGTCCAACTGGCTACTCCCGTAAAACGCAAATTATATCAACTTCGCATTTCTTCTCCTGTGAAATTTTAATATAAACTCCATTGATGAAATGAAAGTTACAAATCAATCCAAAAAGGAGTCATTAACGTTATTAATGACTGATACAGTCAATCTCAAACCGATTCGATTTTCAACTTATTTTGTCCTTTATTACCGACTTATTAGTTCGTAATTAATCAATTTCCCTTCATTTTATTTTAACCATCTCTTCAGTCATAATATAAATGATGAGTTTCCTTTTCGAGCATAAGTTTTCTTGCTCAATGTTCTAAACCTCTTTAGACTCTAGGAGGATGAAAGAAATATTTCGAACTTATAGGCGAATATAGTAATTTTATGTTAGGACAAAGAAATCTTGATAAAAATAATTTTTATCAATCGGGTATTGAAAATCGGGGGAAAAGAAAAAATAAATAAATAAAACAGAGTATATGGTAGTGGGCGTATCGTG